AGACCTGAGGGAGGGCTTGTTGTTGAACCAGCCTTCATTATAGTAGGCCTGAGGGAGGGCTTGGGTTGTTGTTGAACCAGCCTTCATTATAGTAGACCTGAGGGAGGGGTTGGGTTGTTGTTGAACCAGCCTTCATTATAGTAGACCTGAGGGAGGGCTTGGGTTGTTGTTAAACCAGCCTTCATTATAGTAGACCTGAGGGAGGGCTTGGGTTGTTGTTGAACCAGCCTTCATTATAGTAGACCTGAGGGAGGGCTTGTTGTTGAACCAGCCTTCATTATAGTAGACCTGAGGGAGGGCTTGGGTTGTTGTTGAACCAGCCTTCATTATAGTAGACCTGAGGGAGGGCTTGGGTTGTTGTTGAACCAGCCTTCATTATAGTAGACCTGAGGGAGGGCTTGGGTTGTTGTTGAACCAGCCTTCATTATAGTAGACCTGAGGGAGGGCTTGGGTTGTTGTTGAACCAGCCTTCATTATAGTAGGCCTGAGGGAGGGGTTGGGTTGTTGTTGAACCAGCCTTCATTATAGTAGACCTGAGGGAGGGCTTGGGTTGTTGTTGAACCAGCCTTCATTATAGTAGACCTGAGGGAGGGCTTGTTGTTGAACCAGCCTTCATTATAGTAGACCTGAGGGAGGGCTTGTTGTTGAACCAGCCTTCATTATAGTAGACCTGAGGGAGGGCTTGTTGTTGAACCAGCCTTCATTATAGTAGACCTGAGGGAGGGCTTGTTGTTGAACCAGCCTTCATTATAGTAGACCTGAGGGAGGGTTGTTGTTGAACCAGCCTTCATTATAGTAGACCTGAGGGAGGGCTTGTTGTTGAACCAGCCTTCATTATAGTAGACCTGAGGGAGGGGTTGGGTTGTTGTTGAACCAGCCTTCATTATAGTAGACCTGAGGGAGGGCTTGTTGTTGAACCAGCCTTCATTATAGTAGACCTGAGGGAGGGCTTGGGTTGTTGTTGAACCAGCCTTCATTATAGTAGACCTGAGGGAGGGCTTGGGTTGTTGTTGAACCAGCCTTCATTATAGTAGACCTGAGGAAGGGCTTGGGTTGTTGTTGAACCAGCCTTCATTATAGTAGACCTGAGGGAGGGCTTGGGTTGTTGTTGAACCAGCCTTTGTTGAACCAGTCTTATTTCCAAATGGTCTCTGGAGCCAAACCCTTTATCGACAGCCTTCACTACTTCGCGATTGCAATGGGCAGGACAAAAATAAAACAGTCTTCATTGAGAGGAGGGGAGGCTATGCTTGGAAGAAAAAATAAAATAAAAAAAATCTACATATGAAGTACACAAGCACCAAAAGCACAGTACTCTTGTTCCATGTGCATATGGGCAGTGTGCGTCACGGCTGCATAGGCTGTGTTTTCCGTTGTCAAAAGTCATGCCATAACCAACTGCACTTTGGATCGTGTTTTTAAGGACACACCTCAAATATTTCCACCACTCCCATCTGAGCACAAGTGAGCGGATATAAGAAAGGTAAATGACCAATCCTTGTGCAACTGTTTGAGAATAGCAGAGTGCTGGCTTTAACAGGTCGAAATGGCCAACTACTGTGCATTTGACCGCTTTAATGCCAGCCGAAAATAGAGCGCAAGCGTCGAACAGGTAGGCCTACCTCTTATTTCTGGAATAGGAAGAAATAGGCTCCAACACAAATCCCTCTTGTTGTTAGTAACCTAAAGTCAAATTAAAATGAAGACTGTTTATATGAATTAGGCCTTTTCGAATTAGCCTACTTTCAGCACCAATGGGCTGTCCATCTCCGCGGCAGCCTACCTTCAGCACCAATGGGCTGTCCATCTCCGCGGCTGCCTACTTTCAGCACCAATGGGCTGTCCATCTCCGCGGCAGCCTACCTTCAGCACCAATGGGCTGTCCATCTCCGCAGCTGCTGCTTCATAGTAATGTAAATTATGTAAATTACTCGAATATGGCTTATTGTGAGGTCAATAATGCTGATAAATAGCTTCATTATGGGCAACGAAACATATTGTTTTTATTCAAATCTATTATAGCAGTAGCAAGCTTACCTGCAGTCCTCATCTTCAAGCTCTCCCTCTAACTGAACAGGACATCAGTAGGTCTAATCCGCGCCCACAGATATTGCATTTTTTTGTCAAATAAAACATTATTTTCGGAAGAAGCCTTTGAAGTGCCACATACAGCCATTGGTTAGGCAGCACAAAAGGGTTTACATCAGCAAGAGCAGGCCGGGGCTTATGATTGGGAACGCCTATCCATTGCAGTGTAGCCTAGGTAATATACACCATCCCAGCAGCGCAAAAACTCGGGAAGGAAATACATTTTCTTAGAAATATAACTTTGCCCCGTGCTTCTCCCAGCATGCTCTTGGCGCGCCCTGCAGAGAATAAGGGACGAGCGCCAACATCGAGATATACACAATAAGATACTAATTCTGAGCAATATGACATTTAATCGATTAGAAATTACATGACCCTTCCCAGGACTGAAATTGAAAAAGCACGACCCTCCCCCATTTTCCTCTGGGTAACAATTGTTTACATTTCGACTGCTCCCTCAGCAGTAACTTACAGTTTATAGTTCTTAGTTAGCAGTAACCAACAGTTTATAGTTCTTAGTTAGCAGTAACATACCGTTTATAGTTCTTAGTTAGCAGTAAACATACAGTTTATAGTTCTTAGTTAGCAGTAACTTACAGTTATAGTTCTTAGTTAGCAGTAACACACAGTTTATAGTTCTTAGTTAGCAGTAACTTACAGTTTATAGTTCTAGTTGCAGTAGTAACACACAGTTTATAGTTCTTGTTAGCAGTAACATACAGTTTATAGTTCTTAGTAGCAGTAATTACAGTTTAGTTTAGTAGCAGTAACACACAAGTTTATAGTTCTTAGTTAGCAGTAACACTACAGTTTATAGTTCTTAGTTAGCAGTAACACACAGTTTATAGTTCTTAGTTAGCAGTAACATACAGTTTATAGTTCTTAGTTAGCAGTAACTTACAGTTTATAGTTCTTAGTTAGCAGTAACACACAGTTTATAGTTCTTAGTTAGCAGTAAATACAGTTTATAGTTCTAGTTAGCAGTAAACACACAGTTTATAGTTCTTAGTTAGCAGTAACATACAGTTTATAGTTCTTAGTTAGCAGTAACTACAAGTTATAGTTCTTAGTTAGCAGTAACACACAGTTTATAGTCTATTAGCAGTAACACACAGTTTATTATAGTTCTTAGTTAGCAGTAACATTACAGTTTATAGTTCTTAGTTAGCAGTACTTACAGTTTATAGTCTTAGTTAGCAGTAACATACAGTTTATAGTTCTTAGTTAGCAGTAACATACAGTTTATAGTTCTTAGTTAGCAGTAACTACAGTTTATAGTCTTAGTTAGCAGTAACATACAGTTATAGTTCTTAGTTAGCAGTAACATACAGTTTATAGTTCTAGTTAGCAGTAACATACAGTTATAGTTCTAGTAGCAGTAACATACAGTTTATAGTTCTTAGTTAGCAGTAACATACAGTTTATAGTTCTTAGTTAGCAGTAACATACCGTTTATAGTTCTTAGTTAGCAGTAACATACAGTTTATAGTTCTTAGTTAGCAGTAACATACAGTTTATAGTTCTTAGTTAGCAGTAACATACAGTTTATAGTTCTTAGTTAGCAGTAACATACCGTTTATAGTTCTTAGTTAGCAGTAACATACCGTTTATAGTTCTTAGTTAGCAGTAACACACAGTTTATAGTTCTTAGTTAGCAGTAACATACCGTTTATAGTTCTTAGTTAGCAGTAACATACCGTTTATAGTTCTTAGTTAGCAGTAACATACAGTTTATAGTTCTTAGTTAGCAGTAACATACAGTTTATAGTTCTTAGTTAGCAGTAACATACCGTTTATAGTTCTTAGTTAGCAGTAACATACAGTTTATAGTTCTTAGTTAGCAGTAACATACAGTTTATAGTTCTTAGTTAGCAGTAACTTACAGTTTATAGTTCTTAGTTAGCAGTAACACACAGTTTATAGTTCTTAGTTAGCAGTAACTTACAGTTTATAGTTCTTAGTTAGCAGTAACACACAGTTTATAGTTCTTAGTTAGCAGTAACATACAGTTTATAGTTCTTAGTTAGCAGTAACTTACAGTTTATAGTTCTTAGTTAGCAGTAACACACAGTTTATAGTTCTTAGTTAGCAGTAACACACAGTTTATAGTTCTTAGTTAGCAGTAACATACAGTTTATAGTTCTTAGTTAGCAGTAACTTACAGTTATAGTTCTTAGTTAGCAGTAACTTACAGTTATAGTTCTTAGTTAGCAGTACACACAGTTTATAGTTCGAGTTAGCAGTAACTTACAGTTTATAGTTCTTAGTTAGCAGTAACACACAGTTTATAGTTCTTAGTTAGCAGTAAAACATACAGTTTATGTTAGTTAGTTAGCAGTAACTTACAGTTTTATAGTTCTTAGTTAGCAAGTAACACAAGTTATAGTTCTTAGTTAGCAGTAAAACACAGTTTTATAGTTCTTAGTTAGCAGTAAACATACAGTTTATAGTTCTTAGTTAGCAGTAACTTACAGTTTATAGTTCATTAGTGGTAGCATACATACGTTTATAGTTCATTAGTTGTGTATAAACACCGTTTATAGTTCTTAGTGAGAACATAGTTTATAGTTTAGTTAGCAGTAACATACGTTTATAGTCTGTAGGTATACGCGTTTTAGTAGTAGTTTAGTCTGTCAGTAACCCCAGTTATAGTTCTTAGTTAGCAGTAACCATCCGTTTATAGTCTTAGTTAGCAGTAACATAATGTTTATATTTCTTAGTTCTAACTTTTATGTTCGGCAGTACATACCGTTATAGTTCTAGTTACAGTAACATACGGTATATCTCTACTGAATCTCTGCCCTTAAGAAGATCTCTGCGCTGCATATTCTACTGAATCTCTGTCTTCCATCTGTCCACCTCTCCCAGCTGGACATCACATAGGTGTGTGTGTGTCTATTTCCTGTCCCCAGGTGTACAGTGCGGATGGTGAGTTCCTGTTTAAATTTGGTTCCCATGGCGAAGGGAACGGCCAGTTCAATGCCCCCACCGGAGTTGCCGTGGACACCAACGGGAACATCATCGTGGCCGACTGGGGCAACAGCCGCATACAGGTGAGGCTACACCCACATCACCTAATACAGGTGAGGCCACACCCACATCACCTAATACAGGTGAGGCCACACCCACAGCACCTAATACAGGTGAGGCCACACCCACAGCACCTAATACAGGTGAAGCCACACCCACAGCACCTAATACAGGTGGAGATGTTGTTTCCTACCTTCACCACCTGGGGGCGGCCCGTCAGGAAGTCCAGGACCCAGTTGCACAGGGCGGGGTTCAGACCCAGGGCCCTCGAGCTTAATGATGAGCTTGGAGGGTACTATGGTGTTGAAGGCTGAGCTGTAGTCAATGAACAGCATTCTTACATAGGTATTCCTCTTGTCCAGATGGGATAGGTGCAGTGAGCAGTGTGATGGCGACTGCGTCATACGTGGATCTATTGGGGTGGTATGCAAATTGAAGTGGGTCTAGGGTTTCAGGTAAGGTAGAGGTGATATGATCCTTAACTAGCCTCTCAAAGCACTTCATGATGACAGAAGTGAGTGCTACAGGGCGATAGTCATTTAGTTCAGTTACCTTCACTTTCTTGGGTACAGGAACAATGGTGGACATCTTGAAGCAAGTGGGGACAGCAGACTGGGATAGGGAGAGATTGAATATGTCCGTAAACACTCCAGCCAGCTGGTCTGCACATGCTCTGAGAACGCAGCTTTGGATGCCTTCTGGGCCGGCAGCCTTGCAAGGGTTAACACGCTTAAATGTCTTACTCACGTTGGCAGTGGCCCGCATCGGCAGCTCTGTGTTTTTCTCGAAGCGAGCGCAAAAGGTCTTTAGCTTGTCCGGGAGCGAGGCGGCGGTGTCCACGACGTGGCTGGTTTTCCCTTTATAATCAGTGATTGTCTGGAGTCCCAGCCACATACGCCTGGTGTCTGAGCCGTTGAAGAGGAAATGTCCTCTTCATCTAAGACATTGTTTTCCCAAGTGGGAGCCTGGGGTTCAGACAATTTACAATACAATACAAAGTCAGATGTAAAAAAAGGTCTGCAAGAACATAATTGAACCCAAAAACTACAACTGAAACCCCTTCTTCTTTCCCCAGGTTTTTGACAGCACTGGTTCCTTCCTGTCCTACATCAACACATCAGCTGACCCTCTCTACGGCCCCCAGGGTCTGACCCTCACCTCGGATGGACACGTGGCCGTAGCCGACTCTGGGAACCACTGCTTCAAGATCTACCGCTACCTACAGTGATCGGGAGATGGAGGGAGGGATGGAGGGAGGGAGGGAGGGATGGAGGGAGGGATGGAGGGATGGATGGATGGAGGGAGGGATGGAGGGATTTGGATGGAGAGAGAGAGAGAGAGGGACATGTAGCCATGGTCGACTCTTCAAAGGATTGAGGGATGGATGGAGAGATGGAGGGACGGAGAGGTGGAGACATGGACCGACAGAACAACTGCTTCAAGGCCTACTGCTTCCTACAGTAGGATGGATGGATGGAGAGATGGAGGGACGGAGAGGTGGACAGACAGAACCACAGTTCTTAAACTACTACCTACAGTAGAGTTGGGACTCGCCCCTGCAGCTTTACCGTCATGCCTGTGTTTCTGCGCCTACCATTCTGCCAAACTCTCCAGCCAGACAAGGGACAAACACAGAACTGAACTCCCCTTTAGGAGGCTGGAGTGGAATGGAAAAGAGGACGTTATCATAGGTGAATCAGATAAATACTCGACAACGACCTTATCAGGAAACGGGGTTAATATGTCCATACTCCATGAAACAGAGATAATATGTCCATACTCCATGAAACAGAGATAATATGTCCATACTCCATGAAACAGAGATAATATGTCCATACTCCATGAAACAGAGATAATATGTCCATACTCCATGAAACAGAGATAATATGTCCATACTCCATGAAACAGAGATAATATGTCCATAACTCTGTGTCTATTCCATCGGGGACCACGTTGGAAACAAGTGGAATCGCTTTAGCGTTTTATCCCCTGGGTTATAGTCAGCCATCTTTTACCAATAAATCTAAAAGGAGCGTCACATCCGCCATCTTGTGTGATCCATAACCATATATAGATGTACATAATGCATATTTTGTGTGTAGCAGTATCTGAATATTTTCCTCCTGTACATGTTAAACTATAGACTTCAGATCAATGCACTGTCGACCACTTCACAAGATACAGTATGTGAGGTAGAACTGTACGAAGTTAAACACATTTCTAGTTTTTTTTTTATTGTAGATTGTTTCTACATGATTTTAATCTTTAAACAAATCATTAGTTCTAATTGGCCCTGCTGTTTAGACGTCCTCCTCTTCCTGGCCTTGGGTGTGTCCCAATAATTCCTCCTTCCTCCTGCACTTGTTCGGGCTAAAGTGAGTTTCCATATACCAGTCATTTCCTTTTGATAGAGTCGATGTCCGCGCCCCCACGGAAATCTAATTAGTCTGTTTAAGCTAGAGAGATCTGGGCTGCGTCTCAATCCACCGGCATCCGCCAACGTGTCGTCCTTCCGCATCTGCGGTGGAAAAGTGGCAGAGCTACAGTGGTGTTTGTCAGACCAGGAGACATCCCGGAAAATCGGTCTTCTCACGAAAAAAGGCCTGTAGTGTCCGTCCACACGGTTTTTGAAAGATGAGACTCTCACAAACACGTGTGTTCTCCGTTTTGCGCTACGACCCCCACAAGCGTCAAGGACTCGTCTGAAGTCGGTACCGCTGATCTGCCAACCTCTGTCTGTAGCGTCCAAACAGTTTGGGCTACACACTAATATGACCCCACCATCAAAACGACTCTCACGAACACGTACATGTCAGTTGTTTTGCTCTAGGATGCCCACAAGCCTCACAAGACTAGTCTGAAGGTGCCAGTTTATACATGGAAGTACTTCAGTGCCCAAGAATAGGGGGGAAATATGGGTAATTAAAAAAACATGAATTTCCTGATCTTTCTTATACTGTATCTCAGATATAGAACAGACACTTCAAAACCTTATTCCTTTTGACTAACTGTTTTGACATGTATGAATATCTTATTCGATGCATTTATATGGGCTGATAGCCATTTGGGAAAAATACCTTCCTCTCCTCGACTCCTCCGTCCTCTCTCCTCCGTGACCCGGAAACTGATAAGTGGTCGAGGAGAGTGTCAATTCGTTAGTAGGGGAATGGAAGAGTGTCCTCCCCTCCCAGATAGCCTCCTTTCACCGAGGACAGTGCTTTATGGAAGGGGTTTAAATATCTGCCACACCCCCTTTGAATCAACGTTTGCTTTGTCGGAGTAGAAAAGCAAACCTTTATAAACTAGATGCAACATCGTTTTATCTATAATATATCTGCCACAACTAGCAACATTTTTATTTTTACACATATATTTTGAGATTCCTCCTCTGTAAACGGCATTTGCCTGTGTAAGTGTTGCTTCCGTCCCTCTCCTTGCCTCTACCTGGGCTTGAACCAGGGACCCTCTGCACACATCGACAACAGTCACCCTCGAAGCACCGTTACCCGTCGCTCCACAAAAGCCGCGGCCCTTGCAGAGCAAAGGGGAACAACTACTTCAAGGTCTCAGAGCAAGTGACGTCACCGATTGAAACTCTACTAGTGCGCACCGCTAACTAGCTAGCCATTTCACACCTGATGGACAAGGAGAGTCTCATTTCGGTTGCATTTAATTTGGATAGTCCGGACTATCAATAATCTATCTGTTGATAAGCAACTGCTTGCTACGGTTAGGTTTAGTATAAGGGTTAGGGTAAAGGTTAAGTTTAGGGTTAGGATAAGGTTAGGGTTAAGTTTAGGATTAGGATAAGGATTAAGGTTCGAGCTAGGGTTAGTAGATAGTTAGTTGAAATGTTACTGGTAGTCGGTTGAGCCAAATAAAGTGTCACCCTCATTTCAAAACAAGCACATTTGTTTCCACATTTCCTCTCCAGGACGAGGAAGGAGGAGTTAGCTAAACAAATTGTGACTCTCCCCATGAAGGGAAGTGAACAAGTGCACACTTCTGGAGAAAGGAGAGATTATTGGTGATACTGTAGCACTGCTCTTCAGCTCCCTCTAGTGGGGGAAACATCACATTCAGACTGCTCTTCAGCACCCTCTAGTGGGGGAAACAGCACATTCAGACTGCTCTTCAGCTCCCTCTAGTGGGGGGAAACACCACATCCAGACTGCTCTTCAGCTCCCTCTAGTGGGGGGAAACATCACATCCAGACTGATAAAATACGTCATTGTACGTTGTTGTTGGACATTACACAAAGATGATTACTGTTAAAGGAGTAATATATATGCCTCTGTGTATATTCAAATATTGCTATCATATATCATATTGTAAAAGTGTATATTAATACCTTATTGTTGTTGTGGCTGATGAAAGCACCTTCTCCGTGCGGGTTTGCCAGTATTCGCATTTGTTCTGTCTTTCACTGTTCAGAAGGGTTTCTTTGTGGTAAATGAGAAGCACATCACCAGCTAACAGACAAGGGCATGTGGAGTTCTATTCTAAATCAGGGGTGGCCAACCCTCTTCCTGGAGAGCTATAACCTCCTGCAGGGTTTTGTTCCAGCCCTACTCAGAACACACCTGGTTCTACTAATCAGTTGCCCCTCAGGATCTTGTTTAGCTGAGTAGGGTATAGGGCTGGCGCAAAAGCCTGCACACCCAGTAGCTCTCCAATATGACGGATGGCCAACCCTGTTCTAATCATATACATCATTTATTGGAACGGGAGTGAAGAAATACTCTGTGCAAGACTTCACTCATGTTACTGATTAGTACTGTTGTATCTCTCTCTAAAACTATTCAGCAAATATTGTATTTGTTTTGAGTAATCTCCTACCTTGAGTGATATCCTCGCTGACTCTCTCCAATGCATGACCCAGTGCTTGGACTAAAATACGTCTCACGGACTCCCTCCAATGCATGACCTAGTGGTTGGACTAAAATAAGCTAGTAAGTAAGACGACGCTGAAATAAAATCACCAGAAATATGACATTACTTTCACAAAGATCCTGTATAATATACATTTAAAATAGTTTTTTTGTATTTTGTTCAGATCATAACGATATGATTACAAAAGGTATGTATTAAATATTAAAAGACACAACACAGTCATGGTTATCTGGGTGCTTTGTTTGTGTGGTGTAGGATAAAGGTGGCGGGCTGAAGCCGAAAACAGTGACGTTGATCGATCTACGTCGAGGGAGGACTTGGTTTTTTGTACATGAAAATAAAATATTATTATGATTACTTAAGAAAAAAGTATATTTCGAACTGCTAAATTGGAACCAAATCAGAACTCCCATACCCTTGTGATGAAGGCAGCCAATGGCCTGCTTCTAAGATGTAAACACAGCCTCTAATCTGCTGTCAGTGTGTTAAGACGAACGAACGTTAGCGCCCAACGACTGAAATAAGATAGATATCCGTTTGAGTGCACTTGAAATATTTTTAAAAAACATTTTAGTCATTTAGCAGACGCTCTTATCCAGAGCGACTTACAGTTAGTGAGTGCATACATTTTTTTTTTCATACCGGCCCCCCATGGGAATCGAACCCACAACCCTGGCATTGCAAACGCCATCCCTGCCGGCCAAACCCTCCCCTACCTTGGACGACGCTGGGCCAATTGTGCGCCGCCCCATGTCTCCCGGTCGCGGCCGGCTACGACAGAGCCTGGATTCAAACCAGGATCTCTAGTGGCACAGTTAGCACTGCGATGCAGTGCCTTAGACCACTGCGCCACTCTGGAATTGCAGCATGCAATTCGAATGGTCTTGATCATGTGAAGAGGTAACTCTGTTGACCAATTTATTGAAAGCTAGCCAGCATAATACAGTGAAAGTTAATGCGTCTGCTCAGGAAGCTAGCTAGCGTTTCATTAGCTACAGCGCCTTCGGAAAGTATTCAGACCCCTCGACGTTCTCCACATTTTGTTACGTTACAGCCTTATTCTAAAAAAATGGATTTAACAAATAATAATCCTCAGCAATCTACAATCTACACACAATACCCCCATAATGACAAAGCGAAAAACAGGTTCAGATTTTTTGTGCAAATGTATTAGAAACAAAATCACCTTATTTACATAAGTATTCAAAAGACCCTTTGCTATGAGACTCGAAATTGAGCTCGGGTGCATTTACATTTTACATTTTTTTGTCATTCAGCAGACGCTCTTATCCAGAGCGACTTACAGTTAGTGAGTGCATACATTTTTATACTGTTGCCATTGATCATCCTTGAGATGTTTCTACAACTTGATTGGAGTCCACCTGTGGTAAATTCAATTGATTGGACATTATTAGGAAAGGCACACAACTGTCTATATAAGGTCCCAAAGTTGACCATGCATGTCAGAGCAAAAACCAAGCCATGAGGTCGAAGGAATTGTCCGTAGAGCTCTCGAGACAAGATTGTGTTGAGGAACAGATCTGGGGAAGGGTACCAAAAAATGTCTGCAGCATTGAAGGTCCCCAAGAACACAGTGGCCTCCATCATTCTTAAAATGGAAGAAGTTTGGAACCACCAACACTCTTCCTAGAGCTGGCCGCCCGGCCAAACTGAGCAATCAGGGGAGAAGGGCCTTGGTCAGAGGTCACTCTGACAGAGCTCGGGAGTTCCTCTGTGGAGATGGGAGAACCTTGTGGCAAAACATGTACGTGTTTGTGAGTCTCACCTTTCCACAGAGGGGTATTAGTGTGTACCCCAAACCATCCGGACGCTACAGACAGAAGTTGGTAGATCGGCGGTACCGACTTCAGACGAGTCCCAAGACTCTTGTGGTCGTAGAGCGTAATAGTTTGTAGCCAAACCGTTCGGACGCTACAGACGATTTTGTGAGGAGACCAAGCTCTGTCACCTTTCACCGCAAGTGCGACATCGGCGGATTGCTACGCATCCAATGCAAAAAAAAAAAAAGATATCTCTAACTTAAACTGACAGGTTTTTAATGGGAATTTGTTTTTTATGATGCTAATTAGATTTCGGCAGGGGAGCTGACGTCGACTCCAGGGGGTTTTAACCGCAAAACTACCTTCATACTTCCATTTGTTTGTATGTGCTACCTTCAGACGAGTCATGTGACCATAGTGGTCATAATAGTTGGGTAGGGCCAAACTATTCGGAAGCTAGACGGTTTTATGAGAATACCGATTTTATTTAAAAAAAACATTACATAGAGGGATGCAGTGGATTGAGAGACAGCCCATGCTGATATCGCCATCTTAAAATTGACCGATTTTTTATTTTATCATGTTACTTAGATTGCGCATGGGTGCGTCAATAGACTCTTAAAAGATATCCAAACAGGCGATCTAGCTGCCTTGGGCCAGGTGCTGTAAAAGCGGTTGTGACTGGGTAGGAAAACTGTTTCCCAGAGGATCCTTAATACCTTTGAATGCTACGTTCATGGTGGTAAAATAAAAAAAACTGCAGCCTCTTGGTGATATGGATATTCCACGTCACTATTGCAATTTCGATGAAAATGTGATTAAATGTGCACCGCCTTTTCTCCCCTCTCTAATACCCATTCTTACAACAACTGATCCTCCCGTTGTCCTAGAACAATACATTATCATATAAAATAATATTTTTGAACAATTCTCAGCCTAAATGACATTCATTTCTAGAGCACTCTGATATCCTAAATAAAACAATTTAGTAAATACAACACAAAACATTGTCCATTTACATTTTAATTTTCCAAATGCTCATTAGTAACACAAGGATGGTAGGCTTACATACAGTATTGCATTTGTAATTTGTACCAATGATAACATGAACAAACACGATTCAAACTGAGCCATTCTTTCCAAAACACCCAATATGCATTGCAATCATTTCATAAAAACAATCATAATTCATTAAAATGAAGTAAAATGCTAAATTCAAAAAGGTAAAACAAAAATAAATACATTGATATTTAAGGGTAAATGAATAACAGGATATAAAAAAAAAACATAAAAAGACACCTGACCTCGTGTATTCTTGGGGTGCGTTCAGTTTGATTTAACATTTGCTACATTGCGGAACGGTTTGTACTGAACGACACCTTTCCCCAAAACGTTCTTGTACGTTCTTGAACAGACTAAGGTACATTTGCTTCCGTTTGGTGGGTGTGGCTTGAATCAATAAGTGAAGTATTTAAAAAAGGACAGCTGTACATTTTGAACCCACAACCTCTCTCCATTTTTCAACCGGTCGTTCAGTACAGCACCGTTTCCGTTTAAATCGAACGTTCCACTAAGTTTTCATACTGAACGCAGCCCTGTATTTGAACACAACCCCAGTGGAACATTCTGGTTGGACCGCAGATGGTCAAGACAACCATGCTCAAATGGACCAATCAGCAACCAGAGCAATGTGACCTGAACGGACACAGCCAATAGGAAAACATTCTAACCCGTAAACAGCGTTCTCCACATGTTAAAAGCACCAAAATAAACAACACTAGCCGGATCGCGCTCAGCAGGACGCAACGTTTTGGAAAGTTCAGATAGAAATAGCCTGTGTAGAATAAGGAATCACATCAGCTCTATTCATGGAATTTTCTATCTGCAATGGGATTGGTTAAACCTTTCCATGAAATGATGATTGGTTTATCCTTGAGAAACCAACATTTTAACCTTTACGAAATGAAGATGAACCAAATGTTATGTTTAAAAACTACACACAGGTTAACTTGAAATCTAAAATGGACTATTCAAATAAAATACAAACAAGGTTATTCACAACCGTCAAAAAAACTGGATGTAATGTAATGTTATTGACAACAAAGAACAGGACGTAAATGTTATTGACAACAAAGAACAGGACCCATTAATAGTCAATATAATGGTACAGCGTATGTCCTGTACAGGTAACTGCCAAAATAAAGGAACCACTTGAGGAAATGAGGGATATGAAGTCTAGTGAAAGCAGGTGCTTCCACACAGGTGTGGTTCCTGAGTTAAGCAATTAACATCCCATCAGGGTCATGTATAAAAATGGCCAGTTACTTTGGCTACCGTGGCTAGAAAAAGTGTGTGTGTGTGTGTGTGTGTGTGTGTGTGTGTGTGTGTCTCAGTCACCAGATCTCAACCCAATTGAACACTTATGGGAGATTCTGGAGCGGCGCCCTGAGACAGCGTTTTCCACCACCATCAACAAAACACAACATGATGGAATTTCTCATGGAAAGAATGGTGTCGCAACCCTCCAATAGAGTTCCAGACACTTGTAGAATCTATGCCAAGACACACTGAAGCTGTTCTGGCTCTCTGATTGGCCCAACACTCTATTAAAAATACACTCTATGTTGGCGTTTCCTTTATTTTGGCAGTTCCCTGTATGTGCGTACTTGGTGTTTTAGGAAACTCAGGAGTAGTAGAGTAGTCCTCCGTTTCTGCATCTCAAATGGCACCCTATTCCCTCTATAGTGAACGACCAGGGTCCATTGGGCTCTGGTAAAACGTAGTGTACTATATAGGGTATAGGGTATAGGGTGTGTGGTCTCAGACACGCCCGTTCACACAGACAGGCATTCGAGGGTTTTGGATCCTACTACAGACACGGCATGTGTACCGAATGGCACTCTGTACCCTATGTAGTGAACCACTTTGGTCAAAATCAGTGCACTATATAGGAAATAGGGTACCATTGTGGTAGATTTGGGACGCAGACACTCCCCGTCACAGCTTTTAGAGGGCAGACCACACCGTGAAGTCCAGCGGTAGAGACTACACCGTGAAGTCCAGCGGTAGAGACTACACCGTGAAGTCCAGCGGTAGAGACTACACCGTGAAGTCCAGCGGTAGAGACTACACCGTGAAGTCCAGCGGTAGAGACTACACCGTGAAGTCCAGCGGTAGAGACTACACCGTGAAGTCCAGCGTAGAGATACACCGTGAAGTCCAGCGGTAGAGACTACACCGTGAAGTCCAGCGGTAGAGACTACACCGTGAAGTCCAGCGGTAGAGACTACACCGTGAAGTCCAGCGGTAGAGACTACACCGTGAAGTCCAGCGGTAGAGACTACACCGGAAGTCCAGCGGTAGGACTACACGTGAAGTCCAGCGGTAGAGACTACACCGTGAAGTCCAGCGGTAGAGACTACACCGTGAAGTCCAGCGGTAGAGACTACACCGTGAAGTCCAGCGGTAGAGACTACACCGTGAAGTCAGCGGTAGAGACTACACCGTGAAGTCCAGCGGTAGAGGACTACACCGTGAAGTCCAGCGTGGAGACTAAACCGTGAAAGTCCCAGCTGGGTTTAGAGACTACACGTGAAGTCCAGCGGTAGAGGACTACACCGTGAAGTTCCAGACGGGTAGAGAGATACACCGTGAAGTCCAGCGGTAGAGACTACACCGTGAAGGTCCAGCGGTGAGGAGACTACACCGTGAAAGGTCCCAGCGGTAGAGACTACACCGTGAAGTCCAGCGGTAGAGACTACACCGTGAAGTCCAGTGGTAGAGACTACACCGTGAAGTCCAGTGGTTAGAACCAGAGGGTGGTATCTCTTCTGACCAGAATATCAGCTGTCGTTTTTTGTTCATTTCCCCGACGATTCTACATGTTGAAACGGCCACAATTCATCAATACCCAGCGGGTGACTAACTACGCACGGCCCAATGTTAGTTAAGGTGCGTCTTGGTGTCCTTTAGGAGCAAAGCAACCTTTGCTTTGCAACGTGATGTTATGTATTAGTCACAACGTGTCCCTGTGGTGCCACAGAACCACCCAGGAATTATTCCAGATCATGGTTAAGGGGAAAAATTACTTCATTAAAACCCAGAGGGAGGTGGTAAGTACGTATTAAGTTCCACATCGCTACATGTATTTCAAATTGGATTCTATGGGGAAGGGGGGGGGGGGGTCTTGTTCAAACTACAATCACAACATTTGGAACCCCCACCAAAGCCACAGTAGAATCAGTCCCATTCTAGAACACTCCAGGGGTTCTGGCACAAAGCCACAGTAGAATCAGTCCCATTCTAGAACACTCCAGGGGTTCTGGCACAAAGCCACAGTAGAATCAGTCCCATTCTAGAACACTCCAGGGGTTCTGGCATAAAGCCCACAGCTGGAATGGTTGATCATACATCATCAACAGTGACTCTGGAATGAGTAGCCTAACACACACACACTCGCTCTCTGAGAGTTTGCTGTAGACCTAATCGTCTACCCAGGCACACACACCCACCCACCGTCTCAGTAGTAATGACAGATCTGCAGTCTGCTCCCAGGATCGTTCTTCCCCGGGCTGAAGAACGGAGACACCGGCTCTTCGAAGTACGCGTCGAACATGTACAACTTCTTCATGGTGACTGCGTCGTAGAAGGACACGCGGCCTGCGTCGTAGTCCAGGTACACGCCCACCCGCGGAGAGTTCCAGTAATCGGCCAGAGGTATCTTGGCGTCCTCCTCGTTAGCGTACAGCCTGTCCTGCAGACTCAGGCTCCAGTAACCGGACGACGGGCACAGGTTTACGAAACCCTTCCTGGGACTGTACTCCCCCGTCACCCCCAGGTACCACACACCCTTGTCCTTCACATCCACCTGAAATAAGAAACCACCACCAAAAACATTACTGTTGTTGCCTTTCTTCATTAAGATTCCTTTAAATTCTCCACATGTACACGAGGCCCAATGATATAAAAATGTGGCTTCTGCTTTATCCCAACCCCTTAGAATTTACACTAGGATGCTAGCAACATGCCTAAAAATAAAAAAATTATAAATAAAAATAAAAATCAATCATCTTGATCAGGAAAACTTTCAGTCTAGAAACTGATCAAATATCGTCATTTTTTCCAAATCAGGATGTACACTACCTGCCATATGCATTTGGAAACTAGCTAGGTTTCCATCGAATTGGCGACAGATTTTCATGCGAATATTCTAAAATCCGCATGAAGAAAATATGTGCCACCAGTGGTGTTTCCACCAAACAGACTTGTTGCAGATAAAAAAAAAAAAAAAAAAAAAATCAGGTGCGTGACGACACAAAAGTGACTTTTTACCTTAAGATTTCATGTACCGAAATTTTTTTTTTTTAAAGTTCAACGCGTTTCCATTGCATTTTCCACTCTGCGTTTAAATAGCAAATGTGCCTACACTGGTCTTGGCACGTGCGCATAAAGTTGATCCCGCCGCCATTTTTCACATCATTAATTTTACAGACACAAAAAGATCCCACCATGTCAAACAAACAAATTATCTGTAGGCATTTATAAGCATGCAGCGAAACTTCCCGGTTTCCATCACAGCCGTCGTGATAGAAACTGTGGATGGAAACATGGTTAGTGAAGACAGATCTTTTAAATTAGGCTCCATTTTGGATTGGAGATCAAATGTTTCATACGAGGCTACAGTACAGAATGTCAAGGTTTTATTTGAAGCTATTTTCATACATATGTTTTACCATTCAGAAATGAAAGTGACTTTATGTATCAAGTCCCCCCCCCATTTCAAGGTGTCATAAGTATATGGACAAATTCTCTTCTAGTGTATTAAAGAACTCAAGTTTAGTATGTGGTTCCATATTCCTAGCATACAATGACTCTACAAACATTTTGGGATGCATTTGCAGTTTGTTTTGGTTGCGTTTCAGATGATTCTGTGCCCAATAGAAATGATTGGTAAATAATGTATTGTGTCACTTTTATTGTAAATAAGAATATAATACGTTTCTGAACACTTCTACATTAAATGTATACCGGGGTATTTGGAAAAAGCCACGGGACGGTTTTTCAATACCGTCAATGCTAATTATTTGATGTTTCTCAAATAAATTTGAATTTTTGTAGATACTTTTAAAGATAATACCTCTAGTCAACTCGTGCAATACGTTAGGAGGTAAAGCAGATCGCGTTCTTCATTTCACCCGTCACATTATTTTACATTATGCAGCTTACCGTAGTTCCCCAGAACAGTTGAGCCAGTCACGTGTTTGTTTGTAAATAGCACACCGTGAGACGGCGGGAGCTGGTGAGTCCGCAGCGTTCTAGATCTATCGGCGAGTCTCTGTTGCGCAGCGCACATGAGGTGATGAAGTTACACTTGTATACAATTCATTACTAAAAATGTTTGCCATCAGATATCTGGTGGTCCTCTGTAGCTCGGTTGGTAGAGCATGGTGCTTGCAACGCCAGGATAGTGGGTTTGATTCCCTGGACTAACCATACGTTAAATGTATGCACGTATGACTGAAAGTGGCTTTGGATAAAAGCGTCTGCTAAATGGCATATTATTATTATTATTATTATTATCTCCTTATAATGGCTTTCTGCCAGAAGTCAGAGGTCTGGATGAGATAGTACAGCGGCCATTTTGTCCCTGTGCTTCCTACGAGCGTTGTTTTCCCTCCTCTGTTCTTCTCCCCTCTGCTTCCTGTACACATGGTGCTCTTCCTTCAGAAAAGCATGCATCACAGATTTGTTCATTTGCACAATTTCTCTCGTTCACTTTCGCCTGTAAATGTCCACACTCACCGAACATGACATACGGTAGCTACTAGCTATGCTTGTATAACTTTATGAGCTGGATTTGCCTGGCTTTGCAATTAGTTTGTTCGTTTTCACTCGTTAGCATTTAGCTAACAGCGTCTATGTGATTTCACTATTACTTGTGCTAATTGTGTTAGCATTCTGGTAATCATTCATTGGCTTTTTTAACAATTGCGCCCCCTTGTGTGCTGTACCGGTAATACCGTAAATCCTGGGACGGCAGAAGAACACTATGACGGTATGAAAATCTGGATACCACCCAAGCCTAATGATTACAGATAGTCATGAATGAATAGTGAAAGATTATGAGTGAGAAAGGTAGAGGAACAGATCATATCCCCAAAACATGCTAATCTCTCACCATTACCAATAACAGGGGAATTTAGCATGACATTTATGCCTCTGTAACTTTGTTATCGGAGGGTAAGTATTAAAATAACCTCAAATAAAAAAAAGGTGACATTCTGTACTGTCGTCTCATATGAAACATTTGATCTCAAAATCCAAAATGCTGCAGTAAAGCGCCAAATTAAAAAAGACTTAGCTAGCTTAAGTTGAATGCACTGACTATAAGTAGCTCTGGATAAGAGTGTCTGCTAAAATATGACATACTACACGTGTCTTGTACACACAGTGTCATCAGACATCATAACATGTAATATACAGTACATGTAAAGATATGTACCTCCCAGTAGTGTTGCCCGCTGGAGTATTGTGCGGTGGCCAGGATGCCACAGAAGCGGGTGAAGCGCTGAGGCAGGTCTGGTTCCTGGCTACGGGTACGCACCTCCTCTACCTTGGTGTCGAAGTCTGTGATGGCCAGGTTAGGGTGGGCCGTGTCTGGGTCCAGGGTCAGGTTCTGGGGCACTGGGGGCAGGAGGGGAGAGAGAGAGAGAGCGGGAGAGAGAGATGGAGGGAACGAGAGGAGGAGGTGGAAGAGGGAGAACCGAGACAGAGAGAGTGGGGAGGAGAGAGAGAGAGAAAAGGTAGAGGGGGTGTGGGAGAGAGGGGTGGCCAGAGAGAGAAAAAGGAGAGAGAGAAAGAGAAAGGAGAGAGAGAAGAGGGAGACAGAGACAGAGAGAGGGGGGGAGAGAGAGAAAGGTAGAGGGGGTGTGGGAGAGAGGGGTGGCCAGAGAGAGAAAGGAGAGAGAGAAAGAGAAAGGAGAGAGAGAAAGAGGGAGACAGAGACAGAGGGGGAGAGCGAGAGACAAAGTCAGAGAGAGGGGGGAGAGAGAGGGGGGGGAACAAGGAGAGGTAAATTAGATGGGAAGCTCATCTGTGCAGCACGTAGACGTGTTAATAGAACAGTCAAGAGAGGGTCTGTGTCTGTGTGTGTCCAGGTCAACTCACTGGTGTGCAGCACATGCATCATCCTTTTCCACAAGATCAGCTGATGGGGTCCAGAGAACTCATTCATCCAGTCACCCGGACAGTTAACAGATGATATGAGAGGGCTCACCTTTAGAGGACTGGAGAGAGGGAGAAGAGGGGAGAGAGAGAGAGAGGAGGGGAGAGAAGAGGAAGGGAGAGAAGGAGGAGAGGAGGAAGGAGACGAGGGAGGTAGAGAAAGAGAGAGATGAGATTAGGAGTGTAGGAGAGAATATGAGATAAATATTATCACTATAAAGATACGGGTCCGATCGCCTCGGGACCAGATGCTGATGAGTTGAAGTTGCAGACTTTGAGAGGGAGAGAGAGGGGAGAGGTAATGAGATAGTATCGAAGACGAACTAGGAGGTAGACTGCTCTCCTGTTGGGCGCGCCGCGGCGTGCGGGGCGCGCCGCGGCGGGGGGCCGAAGCGGAGAGCGGGCCGCGCGCCGCGCCGCGGCCGGCCGCGGCGAGCCGATGAGGACGGGGAGAGGAGAGTGTTGGATTATATATATATGTGTCATACTGGCCATGTTACCTCACTGGGCTGTAACAGGGAGGAGGAGAGATATACAGTGAGGGAAAAAAGTATTTGATCCCCTGCTGATTTTGTACGTTTGCCCACTGACAAATAAATGATCAGTCTATAATTTTAATGGTAGGTTTATTTGAACAGTGAGAGACAGAATAACAACAAACAAATCTAGAAAAACCCATGTCAAAAATGTTATAAATTGATTTGCATTTTAATGAGGGAAATAAGTATTTGACCCCCTCTCAATCAGAAAGATTTCTGGCTCCCAGGTGTCTTTTATACAGGTAACGAGCTGAGATTAGGAGCACACTCTTAAATGGAGTGCTCCTAATCTCAGCTTGTTACCTGTATAAAAGACACCTGTCCACAGAAGCAATCAATCAGATTCCAAACTCTCCACCATGCACAAGACCAAAGAGCTCTCCAAGGATGTCAGGGACAAGACTGTAGACCTACACAAGGCTGGAATAGGCTACAAGACCATCGCCAAGCAGCTTGGTGAGAAGGTGACAACAGTTGGTGCGATTATTCGCAAATGGAAGAAACACAAAAGAACTGTCAATCTCCCTCGGCCTGGGGCTCCATGCAAGATCTCACCTCGTGGAGTTGCAATGATCATGAGAACAGTGAGGAATCATCCCAGAACTACACGGGAGGATCTTGTCAATGATCTCAAGGCAGCTGGGACCACAGTCACCAAGAAAACAATTGGTAACACACTACGCCGTGAAGGACTGAAATCCTGCAGCGCCCGCAAGGTCCCCCTGCTTAAGAAAGCACATATACATGCCCGTCTGAAGTTTGCCAATGAACATCTGAATGATTCAGAGGAGAACTGGGTGAAAGTGTTGTGGTCAGATGAGACCAAAATGGAGCTCTTTGGCATCAACTCAACTCGCCGTGTTTGGAAGAGGAGGAATGCTGCCTATGACCCCAAGAACACCATCCCCACCGTCAAACATGGAGGTGGAAACATTATGCTTTGGGGGTGTTTTTCTGATAAGGGGACAGGACAACTTCACCGTATCAAAGGGACAATGGACGTGGCCATGTACCGTCAAATCTTGGGTGAGAAGCTCCTTCCCTCAGCCAGGGCATTGAAAATGGGTCGTGGATGGGTATTCCAGCATGACAATGACCCAAAACACACGGCCAAGGCAACAAAGGAGTGGCTCAAGAAGAAGCACATTAAGGTCCTGGAGTGGCCTAGCCAGTCTCCAGACCTTTAATACCATAGAAAATCTGTGGAGCGAGCTGAAGGTTCGAGTTGCCAAACGTCAGCCTCGAAACCTTAATGACTTGGAGAAGATCTGCAAAGAGGAGTGGGACAAAATCCATCCTGAGATGTGTGCAAACCTGGTGGCCAACTACAAGAAACGTCTGACCTCTGTGATTGCCAACAAGGGTTTTGCCACCAAGTACTAAGTCATGTTTTGCAGAGGGGTCAAATACTTATTTTGCTCATTAAAATGCAAATCAATTCATAACATTTTGACATGCGTTTTTCTGGATTGTTTTGTTGTTATTCTGTCTTTCACTGTTCAAATAAACCTACCATTAAAATTATAGACTGATCATGTCTTTGTCAGTGGGCAAACGTACAAAATCAGCAGGGGATCAAATACTTTTTTCCCTCACTGTAGCTTAACATTATATGTATCACACATGTTATATATGATCAAATCAAACCACATGCGCCGAATACAACAGGTGTAGACAATACCGTGAAATGCTTACTTACAGCCCTTAACCAACAATGCATTTATTTCTTAATAAAAAAGTAAAATAAAACAACAAAAAAGTGTTGAGAAAAAAAAGAGCAGAAGTAAAATAAAATAAAAGTAGGGAGGCTATATACTGGGGGCTACCGGTGCAGAGTCAATGTGCAGGGGCACCGGCTAATTACATTTTAGTCACTTAGCAGACGCTCTTATCCAGAGCGACTTACAGTTAGTGAGTACATACATTTTTCATACTGGCCCCCCGTGGGAATCGAACCCACAACCCTGGCACTGCAAGCGCCATGCTCTACCAACTGAGCTACAGGAGGCTACAAAACAAACCTTTCATGCCATTTCAAATGAACGACAGGTCAAAATATCCAACTGGATTTGTGTTTGTTAGCACTAACGTTAGCTATGAAACATTGTCTGAACTGTCTATCTTAAAAGTGATAGGAAATTAAGCATGCAGTTAGCGAATGAGAAAATAATAGCTAGCTAACGCGTTAGCTGGCTAACATAGCTAACATTTCGGTAGCTAGCTAGCCAACTGAACAAGATAGACATTACATTAGCGAGCATCATTATTCGATAGCAAAAGCTAGACAGTAAAACCAGGCATTACTTTGTGACATGTGATGTGACACCTTATTAGTAATAATTTCCAATATCCTTGTTTTTACATGCTGTGCAAACGTTTCCCCTCAATGCTAGCGAGCTAACTAGCTAAATTTTAAATGTCATGATGACAACTGCTACAATACAATCGACCAAATGAACCTTATAACTACATGTAGCTAAAAAGGTGAAACATCTACATATATAGCTAGTTGAGGTAATATGTACATGTGGGTAGAGTTAAAGTGACTATGCATAAATAATTAACAGAGTAGCAGCAGTGTAAAAAGATGGGGTGGGGGTGCAAATAGTCCGGGTAGCCATGATTAGCTGTTCAGGAGTCTTATGATGTCATACTGGCCATGTTACCTTACTGGGCTGTAACAGGGAGGAGGGGAGACTGCCGTCAACCGTTATAGGAACTAAAACAACATGGGATATAGTGGAGTGTTCAGTAAAAGGCCTTTAAACATGGGATATAGTGGAGTGTTCAGTAAAAGGCCTTTAAACATGGGATATAGTGGAGTGTTCAGTAAAAGGCCTTTTCTCAAGACTACAGGCTGAACATGAGAAAACCAGACGCAGATTACAGGCCGAACATGGGAAAACCAGACGCAGATTACAGGCCGAACATGGGAAAACCAGACGCAGATTACAGGCCGAACATGGGAAAACCAGACGCAGATTAGAGGCCGAACATGGGAAAACCAGACGCAGATTACAGGCCGAACATGGGAAAACCAGACGCAGATTACAGGCCGAACATGGGAAAACCAGACGCAGATTACAGGCCGAACATGGGAAAACCAGACGCAGATTACAGGCCGAACATGGGAAAACCAGACGCAGATTACAGGCCGAACATGGGAAAACCAGACGCAGATTACAGGCCGAACATGGGAAAACCAGACGCAGATTACAGGCCGAACATGGGAAAACCAGACGCAGATTACAGGCTGAACATGGGAAACCCAGACGCAGACTACAGGCTGAACATGGGAAAACACGATGAATCAAAAGAAAACGGACAACTTACTTTTTGTACGTCTCAGTGATGCTCTGTGGAGAGACAGACAGAAGATAAGACACAAACTCTTTCACACAGCGAAAACAAGCCCTATATAGAATGTCCTAGAAGGCAGGAAAATAAAACAGCCTATACGTTTCTGAAAATTATGTTACTGAAGGCTTGTCTGTAATCCGTAACTCCTTGTCCTTCCATCCGGACTGTATAATGGAGTGGATTCTCCAAACCGGCACCTATATCCCGGCGGTGGTAGACTGTGGTAGGCTATGGGGAAGCGCGTCTTGTGTGCCGCCTACCACAGCTTCTGCACAGGGCTAAGCTAAAACCACCATGTGTAGTCATTTGACAATAGGCCTGGAGAGAATTCTGAGACCTTTTCTTAACTAAATAGCAAGTCCCATCCAGTTGACTCATTGTCAAAGCCCTCGACGGCGCTGCCCATGCTAAAACAGGTTTTTAGACTTCTAGCCAACTCTATGAGTCTGACCATAGAAAAAGTGGGGAGGCTTGACATGCTACATTCATCAAGACCTCAGTAACATGAAACCTTTTCCTGCTTAAGTTTACATGAACCCTTCTAAGTAAACCTTTTCCTGGTTAACTTTACATGAACCCTTCTAAGTAAACCTTTTCCTGGTTAACTTTACATGAACCCTTCTCAGTAAACCTTTTCCTGGTTAACTTTACATGAACCCTTCTCAGTAAACACTTTTCCTGGTTAACTTTACATGAACACTTCTCAGTAAACCTTTTCCTGGTTAACTTTACATGAACCCTTCTCAGTAAACCTTTTCCTGGTTAACTTTACATGAACCCTTCTCAGTAAACCTTTTCCTGGTTAACTTTACATGAACCCTTCTCAGTAAAATTTTTCCTGGTTAACTTTACATGAACCCTTCTCAGTAAACCTTTTCCTGGTTAACTTTACATGAACCCTTCTCAGTAAACCTTTTCCTGGTTAACTTTACATGAACCCTTCTCAGTAAACCTTTTCCTGGTTAACTTTACATGAACCCTTCTCAGTAAAAATTTTCCTGGTTAACTTTACATGAACCCTTCTCAGTAAACATTTTCCTGGTTAACTTTACATGAACACTTCAGAAAACCCCGTAAACACTGTAGCACATTTTCTATCAACCATCTCAGACAGGACAGAAACTGTGAGAGAGAGAGTGTGTGTGTGTGTGTGTGTGTGTGTGTGTGTGTGTGTGTGTGTGTGTGTGTGTGTGTGTGTGGGGCTATCAGTCCTCTGGTGTTGCGTAGGAGCTCCCCCAACTGGCGTGCTTGGCGTACTACACCCTGGTGCAGGACCTGCCTGCCACAGTACCTGTGTATCTAACTGTGTGTGTGTGTGTATCCAACTCTCTCTGTGTGTGTGTGTGTGTGTGTGTGTGAGACAAACTAACCTCGAAGCTGGTGTTTCCTCTGATGTGGTTGTGTATCTAACTGTGTGCGTGTGTGTGTATCCAACTCTCTGTGTGTGTGTGTGTGTGTGTGTGTGTGTGACAAACTAACCTCGAAGCTGGTGTTTCCTCTGATGTGGTTGTGTATCTGGGCCATGTGTTTGTCCACAGCTACCACCTCAGTCTCCACCCACCTCAGGTTCTCATCTATCACCCCTAAGACAGCCCCCTCCTCAGCATCCAGAGCCTAAGGATGGACAATTCAACATTATTACATAGTTGGAACTCTCATGACAATTTTCTGAATAATCTAATTATTATTTTGCTGCTGCTATATGCAAATTAGCCCAATGTGAACCAAAGTATTCAGTATACCAATTAACCATTAGCCTACACAGAGTATACCAATTAACCATTAGCCTACACAGAGTATACCAATTAACCATTAGCCTACACAGAGTATACCAATTAACCATTAGGCTACACAGAGTATACCAATTAACCATTAGCCTACACAGAGTATACCAATTAACCATTAGCCTACACAGAGTATACCAATTAACCATTAGCCTACACAGAGTATACCAATTAACCATTAGCCTACACAGAGTATACCAATTAACCATTAGGCTACACAGAGTATACCAATTAACCATTAGCCTACACAGAGTATACCAATTAACCATTAGCCTACACAGAGTATACCAATTAACCATTAGGCTACACAGAGTATACCAATTAACCATTAGCCTACACAGAGTATACTATTTGATATGGTTTGCCATCTCTTAGTTGATTAAATAAAAAAGCAGATGAAATTTGAGAACACTATTGTACGGTACCTAACAAAACCATCAGCATGCAAAAAGTTTACTGTGAATAAATGTTTGAATACTAACACTAGTAATACTGAAACAGGGTCCTCTGTGGCTCGGTTGGTAAAGCAGTGTTTGCAACGCCAGGATTGTTGGTTTGATTCCCGCTGAGGCCACCCATACAAACAAAAGTACGCATGCATGACTAACTCCCTCTGGATAAAGGTGACAGCGAAATGGCATATTATTGTTATTATTATAATAATAGTAGTGTGAGAGATAATATAAATGTATATAAATTACCTCCAGCAAGTCGTCCTTCTCATCCAGCAGGAACTGGACCAGAGATCCTACATCCTCCTCAATCTTCTCCTTCAGCTTCAGCTTCTTTAACTGGAAGACGTGATAACATGGGGAAAAAGATACTGGCATCACCTAATGGTCATCTGCAACACACGACTGTCAGTATAACTGGAGGATAAATGAACACATGACTGTCAGTCTAACTGGAGGATATATGAACACATGACTGTCAGTATAACTGGAGGATAAATGAACACATGACTGTCAGTCTAACTGGAGGATATATGAACACATGACTGTCAGTATAACTGGAGGATAAATGAACACATGACTGTCAGTCTAACTGGAGGATAAATGAACACATGACTGTCAGTCTAACTGGAGGATATATGAACACATGACTGTCAGTATAACTGGAGGATATATGAACACATGACTGTCAGTCTAACTGGAGGATAAATGAACACATGACTGTCAGTCTAACTGGAGGATAAATGAACACATGACTGTCAGTATAACTGGAGGATATATGAACACATGACTGTCAGTATAACTGGAGGATATATGAACACATGACTGTCAGTATAACTGGAGGATATATGAACACATGACTGTCAGTATAACTGGAGGATATATGAACACATGACTGTCAGTATAACTGGAGGATGTACTGTATAAACACGACTGTATGTATGTGTGTATATACACTGCTCAAAAAAATAAAGGGACCACTAAAATAACACATCCTAGATCTGAATGAATGAAATAATCTTATTAAATACTTTTTTCTTTACATAGTTGAATGTGCTGACAACAAAATCACACAAAAAGTATCAATGGAAATCAAATGTATCAACCCATGGAGGTCTGGATTTGGAGTCACCCTCAAAATTAAAGTGGAACACCACACTACAGGCTGATCCAACTTTGATGTAATGTCCTTAAAACAAGTCAAAATGAGGCTCAGTAGTATGTGTGGCCTCCATGTGCCTGTATGACCTCCCTACAACGCCTGGGCATGCTCTTGTTGAGGTGGCGGATGGTCTCCTGAGGGATCTCCTCCCAGACCTGGACTAAAGCATCCGCCAACTCCTGGACAGTCTGTGGTGCAACGTGGCGTTGGTGGATGGAGCGAGACATGATGTCCCAGATGTGCTCAATTGGATTGAGGGCTAGGGGAACGGGCGGGCCAGTCCATAGCATCAATGCCTTCCTCTTGCAGGAACTGCTGACACACTCCAGCCACATGAGGTCTAGCATTGTCTTGCATTAGGAGGAACCCAGGGCCAACCGCACCAGCATATGGTCTCACGGGGTCTGAGGATCTCATCTCGGTACCTAATGGCAGTCAGGCTACCTCTGGCGAGCGAATGGAGGGCAGTGCGGCCCCCCAAAGAAATGCCACCCCACACCATGACTGACCCACCGCCAAACCGGTCATGCTGGAGGATGTTGCAGGCAGCAGAACATTCTCCATGGCGTCTCCAGACTCTGTCACGTCTGTCACATGTGCTCAGTGTGAACCTGCTTTCATCTGTGAAGAGCACAGGGCACCAGTGGCGAATTTGCCAATCGTGGTGTTCTCTGGCAAATGCCAAACGTCCTGCACGGTGTTGGGCTGTAAGCACAACCCCCACCTGTGGACGTCGGGCCCTCATACCACCCTCATGGAGTCTGTTTCTGACCGTTTGAGCAGACACATGCACATTTGTGGCCTGCTGGAGGTCATTTTGCAGGGCTCTGGCAGTGCTCCTCCTGCTCCTCCTTGCACAAAGGCGGAGGTAGCGGTCCTGCTGCTGGGTTGTTGCCCTCCTACGGCCTCCTCCACGTCTCCTGATGTACTGGCCTGTCTCCTGGTAGCGCCTCCATGCTCTGGACACTACGCTGACAGACACAGCAAACCTTCTTGCCACAGCTCGCATTGATGTGCCATCCTGGATGAGCTGCACTACCTGAGCCACTTGTGTGGGTTGTAGACTCCGTCTCATGCTACCACTAGAGTGAAAGCACCGCCAGCATTCAAAAGTGACCAAAACATCAGCCAGGAAGCATAGGAACTGAGAAGTGGTCTGTGGTCACCACCTGCAAAACCAGTCCTTTATTGGGGGTGTCTTGCTAATTGCCTATAATTTCCACCTGTTGTCTATTCCATTTGCACAACAGCATGTGACATTTATTGTCAATCAGTGTTGCTTCCTAAGTGGACAGTTTGATTTCACAGAAGTGTGATTGACTTGGAGTTACATTGTGTTGTTTAAGTATTCCAGCAAAGGCTAACTTTTTCAAACAGAAATGTGCATCCTGTAGCACTAACTCCAAAAAGTTTTGGGACACTGTAAAGTCCATGGAGAATAAGAGCACTTCCTCCCAGCTGCCCACTGCACTGAGGCTAGGAAACACTATCACCACCGATAAATCTACAATAATCGAGAATTTCAACAAGCATTTTGCTACGGCTGGCCATGCTTTCCATCTGGCTACCACTACCCCGGCCACCAGCTCTGCACCCTCCGCTGCAACTTGCCCATGCCCCCCCCGCTTCTCCTTCACACAAATCCAGACAGCTGATGTTCTGAAAGAGCTGCAAAATCTGGACCCCTACAAATCATCTGGGCTAGACAATCTGGACCCTTTCTTTCTAAAAACTAGCCGCCGAAATTGTCGCAACCCCTATTACTAGCCTGTTCAACCTCTCTTTCGTAACGTCTGAGATCCCCAGAGATTGGAAAGCTGCCGCGGTCATCCCCCTCTTCAAAGGGGGTGACACTCTAGATCCAAACTGTTACAGACCTATATCCATCCTGCCCTGCCTTTCGAAAGTTTTTGAAAGCCAAGTTAACAAACAGATCACCGAGACCATTTCGAATCCCACCGTACCTTCTCCGCTATGCAATCCGGTTTCCGAGCTGGTCATGGGTGCACTTCAGCCACGCTCAAGGTCCTAAACGATATTATAACCGCAATCGATAATAGACAGTACTGTGCAGCCGTCTTCATCGACCTGGCCAAGGCTTTCGACTCTGTCAACCACCGCATTCTTATTGGCAGACGAAATAGCCTTGGTTTCTCAAATGACTGCCTCGCCTGGTTCACCAACTACTTCTCAGATAGAGTTCAATGTGTCAAATCGGAGGGCCTGTTGTCTGGACCTATGGCAGTCTCTATGGGGGTGCCACAGGGTTCAATTCTTGAGCCGACTCTTTTCTCCGTGTATATCAATGATGTCGCTCTTGCTGCTGGTGACTCTCAGATCCACCTCTACGCAGACGACACTATTTTGTATACATCTGGCCCTTCATTGGACACTGTTAACAAACCTCCAAACAAGCTTCAATGCCATACAACACTCCTTCAGTAGCCTCCAACTGCTCTTAAACACTAGTAAAACTAAATGCATGCTCTTCAATCGAACGCTGCTGGCACCCGCCCACCCGACTAGAATCACTACTCTCGACGGGTCTGACCTAGAGTATGTGGACAACTACAAATACCTAGGTGTCTGGTTAGACTGTAAACTCTCCTTCCAGACTCACATTAAGAATCTCCAATCCAAAGTTAAATCTAGAATCAGTTTCCTATTTCGCAACAAAGCCTCCTTCACTCATGCTGCCAAACATGCCCTCGTAAAACGGACTATCCTACCGATCCTTGACTTCGGCGATGTCATTTACAAAATAGCCTCCAACACTCTACTCAGCAAATTGGATGTAGTCTATCACAGTGCCATCCGTTTTGTCTCCAAAGCCCCATATACTACCCACCACTGTGACCTGTACGCTCTTGCTGGCTGGTCCTCACTACATATTCGTCGCCAAACCCACTGGCTCCAGGCCATCTATAAATCACTGCTAGGCAAATCCCCGCCTTATCTTAGCTCATTGGTCACCATAGCAACACCCACCCGTAGTATGCGCTCCAGCAGGTATATCTCTCTGGTCATTCCCAAAGCCAACACCTCCTTTGGCCGCCATTCCTTCCAGTTCTCTGCTGCCAATGACTGGAACAAATTGCAAAAATCTCTGAAGCTGGAGACACTTATCTCCCTCACTAACTTTAAGCATCAGTTGTCAGAGCACCTTACCGATCACTGCACCTGTACACAGCCCATCTGAAATTAGCCCACCCAACTACCTCATCCCTATATTGTTATTTATTTTGCTCATTTGCACCCCAGTATCTCTATTTGCACATCATCTCTTGCACATCTATCATTCCAGTGTTAATACTAATTGTAATTATTTTGCACTATAGCCTATTTTATTGCCTTACCTCCATAACTTGCTACATCTGCACACACTGTATATATATTTTCTGTTGTATTTTTGACTTTATGTTTTGTTTTACCCCATATGTAACTCTGTGTTGTTGTTTTTATCGCACTGCTTTGCTTTATCTTGGCCAGGTCGCAGTTGTAAATGAGAACTTGTTCTCAACTGGCTTACCTGGTTAAATAAAAGTGAAATAAATTAAAATTAAAATTCCCTTAATTTTTTTGAGCAGTGTATATATATATATATATATATACACATACAGTTGAAGTCAGAAGTTTACATACACCTTAGCCAAATACATTTAAACTCAGTTTTTCACAATTCCTGACATTTAATCCTAGTAAAAATACCCTGTCTTAGGTCTGTAAACAATTGTTGGAAACATTACTTGTTATGCACAAAGTAGATGTCCTAACCGACTTGCCAAAACTATAGTTTGTTAACAAGAAATTTGTGGAGTGGTTGAAAAAGAGTTTTAATGACTCCAACCTAAGTGTATGTAAACTTCCGACTTTAACTGTGTGTGTGTGTGTGTATATATATATATATATACGAGTTCACTGGCATTCCAACAATATATCTATGTATATCCAGAGCACAGCTGTGTACCTTGGCTTCATTCTTGGTTTGCTCGTCCATAGCTTTCACTCTGGTACACACAGTCTTCTGCCATGTTAATTCCACCAGCCTGAGACGCAGCTCGCTCTGAGAGAAACACACACACACACTTTAGTGTGTTCAACCACTCAATCAATCTTAAAAAGGGCAATCTGCAGTTCAAACAATAACAAAGCAGACACCCCGTCGCTGTTTTAGTAAACACCTGAGGGACGGGGCTGGAGAAACGTAACCACTCAAATTCATAGACAGAGCTATAGATTCAAGGACTGATCATCTATGATATCAAAAATTATAGTTTTAACCATGTTTTGAGGCTCTACAGTTTTATATACAACTGCATTGTTTACAAACAATGTAGTAAAACAAGCTTCTATTTGGGGTTCTGATGGGGTACGACAGTCGAACTAAGCTCATGAGACATTCAGAAGTTATATTCGTCAAGAATCATATAATTAATTGAAATATCCCAAACTGGATGTAGCAAATCGCAGATTATTCCTTTAAAAAGAACCATAACAACAAATATTTTTACAGCAACAACAGCATGTGTCCTCGTGCCTCAACTCTTTGACCTCACCTTCATATCCTCGAGGACCTCTGGTACAGGAGCCACATCATGGTGTCTGAAAGGACAAGGGATCATGGTGATGTTATTAAGGACTTGGTTTGCCTTGGCACCGTCAGTTTGGTGATGTTATTAAGGACTTGGTTTGCCTTGGGACCGTCAGTTTGGTGATATCCACCCTCTATTGCGCAAAGAGAAGATTTTGAGGGAGGGTAGGATAATGTGTCCCCAGATCAGTGACTAACTGTCAACTTCTACTGCAAACCAGGTGATAGTGGTGAAATAATAGGAGGGTAAACTCTGATCAAACCAGTGATAGTGTGGAAACAAATGTTTGATCAGATATTATGCATTTTACCAACACTGTAAGAGTTTCAATGTCCAAAAAAGTAATAAACAAATCAATATTTCGAATATTTTTAAAACTGCTCCCCTAATGAAAAGGCCTGACTTTAAAAAAACGGAAAATAAAAAAATATTTCAAATTAAATTATACAATTAAATCAGACTTTCTTCAATGTAGATCTAGCCGTTTCAATATGATCAATCCAGTGGGTAAACAGGTGTTGAAGAATTAGCACCTCATTCTGAAGGGATATAAGCTAATAAATTAACTTGTGCTCATCTAAGGACTACTCCTCTAGATGATGCATTATGGGTAAATAAAACGTTTAAAACTAAAATTGGGAGTTTTTTACAGGAACTTGAAAAAGTGTTACGATAATGAGACATGCATCAACTTCTAAGATTTTACTGGAGCTACAGTTCATATAAAGGAAATCAGTCACTTGAAATGAATTCATTAGGCCCTCAGCGTGGCCTTTTACTGCCCCCATGCTGTTCGATCAGCATATTGATATGCCACACCCGTCCGCTGGATAGATGATCTTGGCCAAAGGAGAAATGCTGACTAACAGGGATGTTTACTCCCATGGGGGGCGGCGGCGCACAATTGGCCCAGCGTCGTCCAGGGTAGGGGAATGGCCGGCAAGGGATGTAGCTCAGTTGGTAGAGCATGGCGTTTGCAACACCAAGGGTTGTGGGTTAAAAAAATAAAATAAATGTATGCACTAACTGTAAGTCGCTCTGGATAAGAGCGTCTGCTAAATGACTAAAATGTAAATGTAAAAAAATTTAAACAAAAGTGGACAAAATTTGAGATAAATAGTATTTGTGTGTACGTAACATTTCTGGGGGGGAAGAAATATTCAGCTCATGAAACCAACACTTTACATGTTACCCTTTATATTTTTGTTCAGTGTAAATTAGATTTTTTCAAAATACAAAATTCAGTCAAATGTATTTAAAATAAGACACTTAGACATCTTAGTCCTCAGAATGATCGTTGATTTTTTTCAGATGCATCATGGTTTTGTAAGTCAATGTGCAACAGACATCTTAAAACTGGTTTCATGAGAATCACCCAGTAACACAAGAGATATACCAACAGCTTCTACCCCCCAAGCCATACGACTGTTCTCTCTGCTGCCGCACGGCAAGTGGTCCCAGTGCACCAAGTCTGGAACCAACCCCTGAACAGCTTCTTACAGTAAGTGAGTGCATACATTATTTTAATTTTTTATACTGGCCCCTGTGGGAATCGAACCCACAACCCTGGTGTTGCAAACGCCATGCTCTACCAACTGAGCTACATCCCTGCCGGCCATTCCCTCCCCTACCCTGGACGACACTGGGCCAATTGTGCGCCGCCCCATGGGTCTCCCGGTCGCGGCCGGCTACGACAGAGCCTGGATTCGAACCAGGATCTCTAGTGGCACAGCTAGCACTGCAACTTGGAATGCAATTTAATACCAATTCTGAGGTCTGCGTCCGCCACACACCTGCTAATATCCCTCTCCAGAAATACGCCCATGTTGGCATTAGTAGTATTTTTAGGACTGTCTGTCACCAAAGGCTACAGCCTACATGGCTCATATGAGGCAGGTGTGCTATTTTAGCCATGAGCATTCTCCTGTAGCCTGACAGACATAGTAGCATAGTGGCTAGGCTATAGATGGCTGAAACATGGGGTTGCCCTGCTTCTCATTAGCTAGACCACAAACTAAGTGTTCAGAATAATGACACCAATATCATAATGATACCACTGTGAAGAAATGCCTTACAGTCAAATATACAGCACTGTTAATGTATAAAAAAACACGTGGTCAACTGTCTCACCTGGAGAGCTAGGCCACTGGGTGTGCATGCAGACTTTTGATCTCAATGACATACTCTGTCAAGCGGTGTTATTTCCTCTATATTGGACAGTTGAGAAATAATTAATTATACTCACATAAAGCTAAGACTCCTCTTTTTTTAACAGTAAGAGTAGTTGTTTTAAAAACGGTGTCTTTCCTGCAATTACATTTAGAAATGTTGCTCAACTGTCAGTATGCTTCCGCTTATCAGAACGCATCTCTCCCTTCACTCCGTGTGCAAAGGCAGGAGTGGGAGTGAGAGCCAGCAGCGAAACAGGAACAGGGCAGATACTTTCATTGCAGGAAGCATGATGTGCACACACACACACACACAGAGGTGCACATGTGGTTGGATAGCTCTCCAACATCTTGAAAGTGGCCTCCAGTATTATTTGACGTGACCATTGTTTTGCTGCGTGGCAACAGTTAACCAGCGACTCAATACACAGGAAACACTGTAGTCATCTCCGTCACCTCCAACCTTTAAAAAACTGAATTTAAGACATTTTAAGACTTAAGGCTAATCTAATCTAAACTCTAATCTAACTAATCAGATAAATGAATTTAAGACATTAAGGACCCTGGACTCTCGAAGTCAATCTTAAATGAATTATTGTTTATTAACAGTTAGCTGGAGAGGTTCCAACAAACTTGATGCACCAAAGTGAACGTCGGTCAGGACCTCTGTCGTGGCAGTCCCGTTAGATCTCTTATATACTGCTTACAGACGCGTTACATAGGCCTAGTTCATAGGGTTGGTTACGGCATGTGTCTGGCACCGTCTCCTATCTTAAGGAGGAGGTCATGACGCCCACCCCCCCGCCCCCCTCATATCTTTACCAGGCACAGGCAGGAACAAAGGATTGTTTATGACACCAAAGACAAGATGAACATTTTCAAGGCTGTCTCTTCACATGATAAAAATGTCCTTCAGAACTGAAATCAAGCAGCTGACGCAATTACACAAAATGTTTTGTTGTGGGTTTCTGAATTTAGGGTAGGGAAAGCTGATCCTAGATCTGTAGGTATCAGGGGAAACTTCACCCTGGAACATTTGTTACCTGTGTGCCCGGGACTCCCTACACACCACACAGATGGGTTTGCTGTCGGAGTGGCAGTACAGCTTCAGCTCCTCTCCATGCCTGTCGCATTTCCCGTCCAGTTTGACGTGTTTGGATGGAGCCGGCTGCTTGCAGGGATTCAGACACTCCAAATCACTCAGCTTATCAACAAGGTTCTTAACCAGGTAGTTCTTGGTGAAGCTGATCTTGTTAAATATCTACAGAGAAAGACAAAGTTCAGAACACACAACTTTTAGTTTTTCTATTATCACTATGAAAAAAGGTACTGAATTAGTTGAGACAGTTAGGCAAACGCTGTTAGCTTGCTACAACCATAGGTAGGGCTGGGCGATATGACCAAAATACACTACATGACCAAAGGTATGTGGACACCTGCACACCGAACATCTCATTCCAAAATCATGGGCATTAAAATAGAGTTGGTCCCCCTTTTCTGCTACAACAGCCTCCACTCTTCTGGGAAGGCATTCCACTAGATGTTGGAACATCGCTGTGGGGACTTGCTTCTATTCAGCCACAAGAGCATTAGTGAGGTCGGGCACCGATGTTGGGCGATTAGGCCTGGCATGGAGTCGGCGTTCCAATTCATCCTAAAGGTGTTCGGTGGGGTTGAGGTCAGGGCTCTGTGCAGGCCAGTCAAGTTCTTCCACACCGACCTCGACAAACCATTTCTGTATGGACCTTGCTTTGTGCACGGGGGTATTGTCATGCTGAAACAGGAAAGGGCCTTCCCAAAACTTTTTCCACTAAGTTGGAAGCACAGAATCGTCTAGAATGTAATTGTATGCTGTAACGTTAAGATTTCCCTTCACTGGAACTAAGAGGCCTAGCCCGAACCATGAAAAACAGTCCCAGACCATTATTTCTCCTCCACCAAACTTTACAGTTGGCACTATGCATTGGGGCATGTAGCGTTCTCCTGGCATCCGCCAAACCCAGATACGTCTGTCGGACTGCCAGATGGTGAAGCGTGATTCATCACTCCAGAGAGCGCGTTTCCACTGCTCCAGAGTCCAATGGCAGCGAGCTTTACACCACTCCAGCCGACGCTTGGCATTGCGCATGGTGATCATAGGCTTGTGTGTGGCTGCTCTGCCATGGAAACCCATTTCATGAAGCTCCCGACGAACAGTTCTTGTGCTGACGTTGCTTCCAGAGGCAGCATGGAACTCTGTAATGAGTGTTGCACTTCAGCGGTCTCGTTCTGTGAGTTTGTTTGGCCTACCACTTTGCGGCTGAGCTGTTGTTGCTCCTAAACGTTTCCACTTCACAATAACAGCACTTACAGTTGACCGGGGGCAGCTCTAGCAGGGCAGAAATTAGCCGAACTGACTTGTTGGAAAGGTGGCATCCTATGACGGTGCCACGTTGAAAGTCACTGAGCTCTTCAGTAAGGCCATTCTACTGCCAACGTTTGTTTATGGAGATTGCATGGCTGTGTGCGCGATTCTATACACTTGTCAGCAACGGGTGTGGCTGAAATAGAGGAATCCACTAATTTGAAGGGTGTCCACATACTTTTGTGTATATATATATATATATATATATATATATATATATATAACAATATTTTTGACGGTATGGTGGTATTTGACTATATTTTACATTTCAAAATAATTAAAGTTCTAAATATGTTTTATGAGTAGTGCATGGGTCCCGAGGACAGAGATTGGGAAACGCTGCACTAGGATGACAACAAATACATTCTAAATGGGTTTTCTCCCTTCTGATGGTTTTATACTCAACCAACCTAGGACAAAACTGACAGAAGTAGTCCAATTACATGTAATAGAACTGTTCATTTATTTTTGCAGTTATATCAAAATACCTATATAGATGGTATTGTAAAAATCCATACAGGTATGTGGATCCATACACGTATACCTTAAAACTATATCATGCCCAGCCCTAGTTCTGGAGAAAAAAATGTATCCTCCGGGTTACCTTCGCCCACGGTCGGCTCGATGCGTGTTTACATTAAGAACAAACATCGGGCTCTTAAAAGAAGATACCTTCATCAATAGGTGCTAAAAGTAGTTAGCGTCTGAATGGACTAGCCCAGCCCTCGCCTTATCACAGGTAATACATAGTGTCGAAGACATTTTTGACATGGGAGACTAAAAACAGGAAAAGCACTCCTGCATCTGAGTGTGCCCGTTGTAGGTGCGCGGGAAAAATTAAACGATACCTTAAAGATCAAAAATAAAGACCCGCACACTACTCTTTCCGGTATAAACTTCGTTTATACTTTGTGATACTGACAAGAGCAGTGTGCGGTTCTTCCTTTCAAGAGAAAGGAGACAGTACAGTAGCTAGTTCATCACAGAGATGCATGGCATGTTGAGATTCGGCCGTGATTACATGTTGGCTTGAATAAACGCCACACTACCTAGTTTAGCTACCGAGCTAATTTACAACACAAAGGCTCCGCGTTTTCAGCATTGTCAGCGTTTTAACTCATCTCTAACGTTATTCCAATTCCAGTGGCAACGCCTAAATTAGGTACGGAAACTGCATTTGTAAATTACACTTGCTACGATTAACTCGAGCATTCAAAAGACGACAAAGAAAATTGTCTAGCTAGCCAACAGCTGATAAGATAGAACGGTAGCTGGCGTTGAACCACAACAAACCATTCGGCACTCGGGGCATTGATAACCGACGTCCTCTCCTCCGTTCTCCTCCCAATGCATCAGGATGCAGAACTTGCAGAAATTGTGTCCGCATTTCAGAATGACGGGGTCGTTGAAGTAGTCAAGGCAGATGGCACAAATTAACTCTTTCTGTAGCTCGCTGTCCGCACGGCTGGATCCCGCAGCCATGTTGTTTCCCTAGCTACCGACACACGTTTCCGGAGCGAAGAAGAAAGCGGAAGTGTAGGCTCATCTTGCATCCTGGGATTGATGACGTAGATGGCAACCTTGTGGTCTGGGCGGAGGAAGAGGCGAAGCGAAAGCTTTTACTCCGCCCAAAATCTGTCCACGAAAATAAACCCAAGAAGTGAGGAATTGTTGTATGGTAGTCACTAGGCAGATTTCCATAGAGTACCACAGTATGAGTCATAATACCCATAAAACCTAGCGGTCAAACAGGGAAACGGTTCCAATCGTTTTTCCACCATTCATTTTTCCCATAGGGGATTTTGGAAACACTTAAAATAAGGGCTGTGTTTCGTGTAGGCTTACCCTGGTGTGACGTTTTGATAAACGTGTAAATCTCTCTAGGACAAGGTGACTTTTATCAATATATTCGGCTCCATTTACTTTTATTAACAGCAGGACAATAACCTCAAACACAAGGCCAAATAGACACTGGAGTTGCTTACCAAGAAGACAGAGAATGTTCTTGAGTGGCCGAGTTACAGTTTTGACTTAAATCTACTTGAAAATCTATGGCAAGACCTGAAAATGGTTGTCTAGCAATGATCAACAACCAATTTGACAGAGCTTGAAGAATTGTTAAAATAATAATGAGCAATTGTTGCACAATCCATGTGTGAAAAGCTCTTAGAGACTTACCCAGAAAGACTCACAGCTGTAATCACTGCGAAAGGTGCTTGCTTCTACAAAGTATTGACTCAGGGATGTGAATACCTATGTAAATGAGACATTTCTGTATTTCATTTGCAATAAATTTGCAAACATTTCTAAAAACATGTTTTCACTTTGTCATTATGGGGTATTGTGTGTAGATTGATTATTTTATTGTTAATTTAATCAATTTTGAATTCAGGCTGTAACACAACAAAATGTGGAACAAGTCAAGGGGTATGAATACTTTCTGAAGGAACTGTATGGCTATATATGGCCATATATATCAAAGAACATTACATATATTTAAAAGTATATGATCATATGTTTAAAACCCATATATAAAGTGACATACATTTTAAAATATAGGATCATATATTTTAATAATAATATCTTAATAAACATATATAAATCTCACACCCCCATACAAAACGTTACAATATGCATATGTACAGTATTTTCATCATGCAAAATGTACTCAGAACATTTGTTTTTTGTTTAATGCATTTATTGCTTTGAAATGTATTCCAGATTTATTTAAACATTTTTACATGGCATATATTTAAAAACCATACATAAATCTCAAACGATGAATTATTTAGTAATTGCATTTGGTGTTAGGCAACAATACGACTACTTTATTGTTTCTTGTAGCTACTGTAGATGATACTTGCCATCTCATTTTGAGATTAGATTGAGATGGCGTAGACAACTATTGCAGGTTTACACTGAGTATACAAACATTAAGAACACCTGCTCTTTCCATGACATTGACTGACCAGGTGAATCCAGGTGAACGCTATGATCCCTTATTGATGTCACCTGTTAAATCCACTTCAATCAGTGTAGATGAAAGGGGGAGGAAAATGGTTAAAGAAGGATTTTTAAGCCTTGAGACAATTGAGACATGGATAGTGTAAGTGTGCCATTCAGAGGGTTGATAGGCAGGGTGAGGGGGGATTTTGTTGTGACGTGGGCTAGGGTAGAGAGAGGTGTAGGGAGAGCGAGGGGGACGGTTAGGGACAGGTTTCTGCTCTGGCTTCTCATAAGCCTCTTTAAACAGGGGTTGTGGGAAGCCAGGCAGAATATGGAAAGGACAGGGAGAGAAGGGGGTGTGGAGGGGATAGTGAGGAGGATGGAGAATGAAGAGGGAGGAGAGGAAGTGGGGGCAGCATGCTGCTCGGGAGAGGTGGAAGGGGGGTTTAGGATTTGTGTGTGTGTTTTTAGCTGGGTATAAAGGGGGAGGGAAGGTGCTCCCCTGGGGTGTAATTGCTGTTATTGTTCGGTTTTGTTGGTGTTTGATATATATTGTGTTGGGTGGTTTTGTATTGTTCTTTTTAGTGATGTTGGGGTTGGGAATTAATGGTGTGTGTAATGTGATGTATGGTTTTGAATAAAAAACCTTTAATCAGATAGGCAAGACAAAAATATTTAAGTGCCTATGAACGGGGTATGGTAGTAGGTGCCAGGCACACCGGTTTGTGTCAAGAACTACAACGCTGCTGGGTTTTTCACGCTGTTATGATGAGTTTCTCAGGTATCAAAGAATCAAGGATGCAAGAATTTACTTAGACATTCTGTGGAGATTTCATAACAAGTATTTATTGAATCACGAGCTCGTGGGTTCATCTAACAAACGGACATGGCTTTGCCCTTCGTCAGTTGAACTACCTAACAAAGAAGACACTCTACCTTATATAGCCTTTATTGCCATCTTCCTGGCATACATCTGGCAAGTCTCCATGGGCACTCCCTGTCTTTGATGTTCATCACTTTTTACCCCAAGTCAGTATCCTGTCCATCACTCATGCTATCCTAAACATCACTAATCTACCTTGACATAATGGAATGTAGACTTCATGACCCCAAACCACTAATCTCTTAACTCTTCCTCTGTCCTCACAACACTATGGCATGACATCATTATACCATAAAAACATCATATCACACGCTCAACAGTTTTCCGTGTGTATCAACAATGGTCCACCACCCAAAGGACATCCAGCCAACTTGACACAACTGTGGGAAGCATTAGAGTCAACATGGGCCAGCATCCCTATGGAATGCATTCGAAACCTTGTAGAATCCATGCCAAGGATTTCCATTGGGAATCATTTATGCCTATTGCCACCAGCAGGGGGCGAGGTATGAGCGTCTCCCCTCCAATCAACAACACTGGAAGAAGATTTCTGTGACAAGTCTAACAGTTTCTCCTCCGGTCTCATTTTTCTTCGTTCTGTTAAACAGGTAAATGGTGTACACAAGCATATTATCTATAGAACATTTTAGAGTCTAAATGGTTGTCGCACGCGCATCTGCGTTGAAAAGTGGCAGAGCTACAGCGGTGTTTGTCAGACCATGAGACATCCCGGATATCGGTCTTCTCACGAAAAAGTCCGTAGCGTCCAAACGGTTTGAGCTACAAACGTATGACCACTCTATGGAAAGGGGAGACTCTTCAAAGCCTTGTTTCGTAGGATTTATTTTTTGACTGTATTTTTTTATTGCCATTTATGAATGTGTTATTCAATACATTTCTCTGGGCTATAGTAGTAAAAGCCAAATTCTATATTCTATGAAATAATTTTTGTATATATATATTTTTATACCTAAAAGGGCCCTAAAATTCACAATCAAATAGTTAAGTGACCCATAATTAGTATGACCGTCTTAAAACAATTCCATATGTCAATTTAGAACCCACCCAGCGTGTAATTGTCTTGTTGCTCAAGTGGTTTGCAAGTGATTTCCATTTTTGTAATGGTTGTCAATTCCTTTGGGCCTGCTTTTTCACAGTGCTCATCTCTCTGTATGTCCTGTGCAACTATTTGTAATGCATCAGTGCAACAATGTTATCATAACTGGCCAAAAGTGATCACACTAATGCACTTTTTCTCCTCAACTTTCCCCAACCGTTAATTTGGCCTATGCTGTAGGCCTGTTTTACATACAGCAATAAGCAAGAGCAAGCTTGCTTCTTTCCTCGAATAGGCTATTAGGCCTAGTATATAAAAAAAAAATATCATAGCTTTTGTTATAGCTTTTTGGGGGATTTCACGTGAAGAGGAATATGCTATTGCTCACGGGAACAGCTGGAAGAGAGAGGCTAGATATGTGTAGCTGAAGTAAGAAGCTAAATATTAGGGCTACAAATATTTACCTGTCAGTGCAATATATATATTTTTTAATAGATTATGAAATGGCAGATCTGTGTGTTCCTAGGCTGCAGTCTACGATCCCAGGCACCAAAGCTCCCCAATTGATTAGGCCTGTGTTTAAGAAAATCATTCTACCTAAGCTACAACAACACAGTGCAATGAGGAATGTATTATTTTTTATCAAGATAGTCCACAATTATTGTCTATAGCCCTCAAACTCAACTCTGGACCACAAAGCCAGTTCCACTGCATTTTTTTCATTGTTCCCCTCTAATCAGGGACTGATTTAGACCTGGGACACCAGGTGGGTGCAATTCATTATCAGGTAGAACAGAAAACCAGCAGGCTCCGAACCTCGTAGGGTAAAGTTTAATACCCCTGGTCTATAGGCTGTAAACTGCAGTGATGTAGGCTAATTTGAAAAACTTTTATATTTTTGTCTTAAAAATTGGACCTAGTGTTATAGATAAGTCGTTGTAGGCTTCTCTGCTGATCTGTAAAATTCATTAAATGTTGTACTAGACTGGTAGGCCTAGGCCAGGACTGCCCAACCCTGTTCCTGGAGAGCTACCGTCCTGTAGGTTTTTGCTCCAACCCTGTTCCTGGAGAGCTACCGTCCTGTAGGTTTTTGCTCCAACCCTGTTCCTGGAGAGCTACCGTCCTGTAGGTTTTTGCTCCAACCCTAATCTAGCACACCTGATTCTAGTAATTAGCAGGTTGATAAGATGAATCAGGTTAGTAGCACCTGGGGTTGGAGTGAAAACCTACAGGAGGGTAGCTCTCTAGGAACAGGGTTGGAGCTAAAACCTACAGGACGGTAGCTCTCCAGGAACAGGGTTGGAGCGAAAACCTACAGGAGGGTAGCTCTCCAGGAACAGGGTTGGTGTTAAAACCTACAGGAGAGTAGCTATCCAGGAACAGGGTTGGAGCGGAAACCTACAGGACGGTAACTCTCCAGGAACAGGGTTGGAGCGAAAACCTACAGGACGGTAGCTCTCCAGGAACAGGGTTGGAGCGAAAACCTACAGGACGGTAGCTCTCCAGGAACAGGGTTGGAGCGGAAACCTACAGGACGGTAACTCTCCAGGAACAGGGTTGGAGTGAAAACCTACAGTAGGGTAGCTATCCAGGAACAGGGTTGGGCAACTCCAGTGCTCAGGGCCTGATTGGTGTCGCACTTTTCCCCCCAGCCTTTTAGCTAACACACCAGATGGAACTATATTGCGTTCGAAACTGAAGACCATGATTAGTGTAATGTTGGAGTCAGGTGTGTCAGCTGAGGCTGGGGCAAACGTGTGATACCAATCAGGTCCCCGAGGACTGGAGTTGCTCACGCCTGAGAGCTATAAGAACACAACTGATTCTGAACTGTAAAAAGAAGAAAAAAACATAGCCTACTCATTTTGCAGAACATATTTATTTTTGGGGATTCAAACGTTGTTACAAAAAAAGTAACGTGTTGACATCACACACACCACTCCCAGACACATTGTTATTCATAAATACGACCATAAATACTCATTCATAAAAGATATACATAGAATATCAAGTTTAAACCTTGGTGCTGAAGTCGTCCGTACACTCGGGAGTAACATTATATTACATCAGCGTCTCTCACGTCAGACCCCTAAGGGTGTGTATTCTGTGTTTCTCCCTAGATTACATTGCATTGCATAGCTTGGATTGATAAACATGTGAGAAATGTGCCTTTTATAAAAAAATAAAAAAAAGTGCATTTGGTTAATTATATTTGAGGTGTGTGATAGAACCAAGCCCACAGGTATGTAGTCTATATCCGGGCCCATATTCATAAAGCCTCTTAGAGTAGGAGGTGACAGAGCCAGGCGCAGGACGTGTGAATCAAAGAATAATGGTTTATTCGGCCAATACAGCAGTCCGCAGCAATGCGTAAAGAAAATACAGTGCGACTTAAATGCGCACTGGGGAAAACAAAACACACTTGGTGAATATCCCGGCGATAAAAGTAACATAATGCTCAACACGAGCTAGCGACACCTCCACATGGAACAATAACACACAAAGACATGGGGGGGAGCGGAGGGAATAATTATACAGAGACTGATGAGGGGGATATGAACCAGATGTTTGTGGAAAAACAAGACAAAACAAATGGAATGATGAAAACAGGAGCGGCAGTGGCTAGAAGGCCGGTGACGACGAACGCCGAAGCCTGACCGAACAAGGAGAGGAGGCAGCTTCGGAGGGAGTCGTGACAGTAATCTTATTCGTTGCGATCTAAATGGCCAAACTGATGCTAGATCAGTACTCTCTGAGGCTTTATGACTATTGGGCATCAGAGCTACGTCTGGTGAATAAAGGACTTGACTATCCCTAATCCGAGGTTCAGAATGGTACATCGCTAACTTCCACACCTATTTGTGATTGGTCAATAATGAGAACTCAAAAAATATCAGTATGCCTCAATCCCAGAACAAATCCATTGGCAGATATCCTTGATAACAACAAGGATGGACAAATACTTGAAAGATATGATTACCGGTCCTCCAAACATTCGACTGGACCCAGCTACAGTGAGCTATATCAAAAGAATACTCTCAGGTTGAGGTTGCATCCCAAATGGCACCCTGTTCCCTATATAGTGCACTACTTTAGACCAGAGCCAATAGGGAATAGGGTGCCATTTGGGACTCAAGCCCAGATAAAGTAAATACTGTTGTTTTTATGTAAAGTAAATGCTGTTGTTTACGGCGCAACACCACTTTGATTGATTCGTTGTTTGTTTTTATCTTAACAAGACAAAGGGCACAGACCCCGTCGCACCCACCAACACAGCGGATAAATACTGTGGAACAGCAAACACTATGTAGGAAAAAAACGATTGTGTAAAAAAGTTAAAAAAGTATTGTACACGTTCACAGCACTATAGTGGATATGATGTCATCACGTTCACAGCACTATAGTGGGTATGATGTCATCACGTTCACAGCACTATAGTGGGTATGATGTCATCACGTTCACAGCACTATAGTGGGTATGATGTCATCACGTTCACAGCACTATAGTGGGTATGATGTCATCACGTTCACAGCACTATAGTGGGTATGATGTCATCACGTTCACAGCACTATAGTGGGTATGATGTCATCACGTTCACAGCACTATAGTGGGTATGATGTCATCACGTTCACAGCACTATAGTGGGTATGATGTCATCACGTTCACAGCACTATAGTGGGTATGATGTCATCACGTTCACCAGCACTATAGTGGGTATGATGTCATCACGTTCACAGCACTATAGTGGGTATTGATGTCATCACGTTCACAGCACTATAGTGGGGTATGATGTCATCACGTCACAGCACTATAGTGGGTATGATGTCATCACGTTCACAGCACTATAGTGGGTATGATGTCATCACAGCACTATAGTGGGTATGAATCATGTTTTGAAAAAGGTAACGGGTTGCATCTTAAATGGCTCCCTATTCCCTAAATGGCACCCTATTCCCTAAATGGCTCCCTATTCCCTAAATGGCACCCTATTCCCTAAATGGCACCCTATTCCCTAAATGGCACCCTATTCCCTAAATGGCACCCTATTCCCTAAATGGCACCCTATTCCCTAAATGGCACCCTATTCCCTAAATGGCTCCCTATTCCCTAAATGGCTCCCTATTCCCTAAATGGCACCCTATTCCCTAAATGGCACCCTAAATGGCACCCTATTCCCTAAATGGCACCCTATTCCCTAAATGGCACCCTATTCCCTAAATGGCACTCTATTCCCTAAATGGCACCCTATTCCCTAAATGGCACCCTATTCCCTATGTGATGCAGACATGGTGAAGACAAGTGGTGAATCTCTTCAGGTGCAGATGTAGAGAGTGATTAAATACTGTATTGTGTATAAGGATACCACTCCTGTGTTCCTAGCCAACTGTTCACAAAGTCAGTCTTGAGAAATCTCACGTCCCCTGTATGCCACGTCCCTCAGCTGAATATCAAAACAAGTACGAATTCCAGATTTGTGGCTTTAAGAAATGTATCTGTCTTGACTTATCCAGTGTTGACTTCACAGTTTAAAAATTTTTCTAAACAACATCCAGTGTATTTTGAACAATATGAAAATGAAAACAGATACAGGCAGTGAAATAAAATGCTAAGCGAAGTCCCCACAGTAGTAAACGTGACAGAAGTGAGGATGTTAACCCTTCCAATACACAGTAAATATCTCTATTACATAATAAACAACCCAGCAACAAACATGACATCTCTACGAACTCTGGACCTTTTAAGATATGTCTTTATCCCCTGTGTATTTCCTCCTGTGAAGGGCATTGTATTGCTACACAAATTAAGTTTAATTGATTACCTATAGGAAGGGCCTATAGAGCACGTCATTAGAATTCTAATTGACAGGAGCATGTGACGAACAGGAGCAACAGGAGCATGTGACCAACAGGAGCATGTGACCAACAGGAGCGTGTGACCAACAGGAGCATGTGACCAACAGGAGCAACAGGAGCATGTGACCAACAGGAGCATGTGACCAACAGGAGCATGTGACCAACAGGAGCATATGACCAACAGGAGCAACAGGAGCAACAGGAGCGTGTGACCAACAGGAGCATGTGACCAACAGGAGCATGTGACCAACAGGAGCATGTGACCAACAGGAGCATGTGACCAACAGGAGCAACAGGAGCGTGTGACCAACAGGAGCATGTGACCAACAGGAGCATGTGACCAACAGGAGCATGTGACCAACAGGAGCATGTGACCAACAGGAGCAATAGGAGCATGTGACCAACAGGAGCATGTGACCAACAGGAGCAATAGGAGCATGTGACCAACAGGAGCATGTGACGCAGTCAGTCAGTGATACAGTTAGCAACACACAGACCTTGATTTGGGGACTGGTGAAGGTATGCCACTATCAGTAATACAGTGAAGCGTGGATTATGGGGAGATATGAGTAGTGCGCTCTGTAGAACGAGAGTTCCCCATTGGTTGAGACACTAGCTATCTGTTGTATGAGAACTCCCCATTGGTCAAGACAATAGCTTTCTGTTGTATGAGAACTCCCCATTGGTCAAGACACTGGCTATCTGTTGAAGGAGAGATCCCCATTGGTCAAGACTCTAGCTATCTGTTGAAGGAGAGCTCCCATTGGTCAATACTCTAGCTATCTGTTGAAGGAGAGCTCCCATTGGTCAATACACTAGCTATCTGTTGAAGGAGAGCATCCATTGGTAAAACAAGCTATCTGTTGAAGGGAGCTCCCTTGGGTAAGAAAATATTTTCTGTTGTATGAAACCCCCCCATTGGTCAAGACAGGGCTATCTGTTAAGGGGGAACCCCCCTTTGGTCAAGCCCCTCTAGTATCTTTTGAAGGAAGCTCCTTTGGGTCAATATTTAGCATCTGGAAGGAGAGCCCCCTTGGTCAATACACTAGCTTTGTTAAGGAGAGCTCCCATTGGTCAAGACACTAGATATCTGTTAAAGGAGAGCTCCAATTGGTATATGTGTAGCTGCTTGAGGCACTTGCAACACAACAGCTAAGGAAAAGGAAAACCATGACATTTATCAAAAGGAAGAGATGTATTTAAAACCCCAAAACGGGTTTTTGGCGCATTTTTTTTTTATTTTTATTTTTATATATAAGTGAACATTTCTATAGGTGTTTTAAATTGGAGAGTTTCAATATACAAGGATGAAGCTTTTCAATCACTTGACTTACTGAGAAGCCACAAGATGGAGGCTTTAAAAGTACTCCAGAAACAGTGTAGAAAAAACATTAAAAAAAAACACATTACAAAAGCCCAAATACTCCTCAATACTCTGTCAAATCTTTTTCCGTCCATCCATCCGTCCATTTCTCTCAGACCTCTGAGCTGTTGCTGCAGTCGTCCGTCCGTCCATCTCTCTCAGACCTCTGAGCTGTTGCTGCAGTCGTCCATCCTCGCGACCATCATCGCTTCCGTGCTCGCCGACCCCCTCACCTCCTCTTCCCTCTGCCCCTTCTGTCTGGACCGGACCGCCAGGACGAGGATGATGATGAGGAGGAAGGTGAGCAGCATTCCCACCAGCCCACCCACCACCGTCAGCAGTTCCTCCTCCCCATCCCCCCTGTTCAGCTCCCTTGGTTCCAGCCCGTCGGCGTACAGCTCCCCCCCCCCCGCCGCCCTCCTCTTGGTACGGTCCAGGGCGATGTGCATGATGTTGGTGCCATGGTTGTTCGTCTGCTCCGATGTCCTCGGCCACGTCGGGGACCGCCGCTCCGAACGATCCACTGGCTGACCTCCTCACACGGTGACCTTGACCTTTGACCTCTGAGGTAATGGAGAGGTCGTTGCCCGTGGCGACCAGGGAGTGGTGGTACTCGAGGCTCCTCTTGCCGATGCCGTGGTTGGCGTTGTCTTTGGAGCGGACGGTGTAGATGGTGTGGATGAACCACTCACGACCCGCAGCCACCTGGGACAGGAGGTTAGAGGTTAGAGGTTAGAGGTCAGAGGTTAGAGTGTGTTGTCTGCAGACCTGGGTTCAAATAAAAGCATTTCTGATTATTTGTTATATAAATAATTATTTTCTGCATATTTTAGTAATAATAATAATAATAATATGCCATTTAGCAGACGCTTTTATCCAAAGCGACTTACAGTCATGTGCGCATACATTTTTACGTATGGGTGGTCCCGGGGATCGAACCCACTACTATGGCATTACAAGCACCATGCTCTACCAATTGAGCTACAGAGGCCCACAGTATTTGAGGAAGTGTATCTTGCTGTCTGGTACACAACATAACTATCTTGTTGTGTGGTACACAGAATAAGTGAAAGGTTTCAGTCCAAAATGCTATACAGTGGGGAAAAAAAGTATTTAGTCAGCCACCAATTGTGCAAGTTCTCCCACTTAAAATGGAGAGTTCAATATCAAGGATAAGCTTTCAATCACTTGAACTTAGAGAAAAACCGAAAATCAATTGAGGCTTTTAAAACTACTTCGAAATTTGGGGGAAAAAACTTTTAAAAAAAAACCAATTACTTTGCCAAATACCCTTTTTCAATACACAGGTCAAACTTTTCTGTAATCTTCCCAAAAGTCTCTCAGACCTGGTGTTGCTGCATTGGCCCATTCCTCCATCTCTCTCAGACATCTGAGTTTTGGTGCCGGGGCAGGTTTCCAACCCCCTCCACCATCATGGGCTTGAGATCGCCGACCCCCTCCCGGCCCTTTTTCCCTCGGCCCTCTTCTTGGGACGCCCAGGACGAGGTGTTTGTTTGGGATTGAAGGTGAAGAAGCAGCCACCAGTTCATCTTCAACCCCCCGTAAGGAGTTTCCTCCTCCACATCCCCCTTTCAACTCCTTTTCCACACGGAGCGTACAGCTCCCCCCCCCCAGGGCCGCCCCCTCTTCGTACGGTCCAGGGCGATGTGCATGATGTTGGTGCCATGGTTGTTGTCTGCTCCGATGTCCTCGGCCACGTCGGGGACCGCCGCTCCGAACAATCCACTGGCTGACCTCCTCACACGGTGACCTTGACCTTTGACCTCTGAGGTAATGGAGAGGTCGTTGCCCGTGGCGACCAGGGAGTGGTGGTACTCGAGGCTCCTCTTGCCGATGCCGTGGTTGGCGTTGTCTTTGGAGCGGACGGTGTAGATGGTGTGGATGAACCACTCACGACCCGCAGGCCACCTGGGACAGGAGGTTAGAGGTTAGAGGTCAGAGGTTAGAGTGTGTTGTCTGCAGACCTGGGTTCAAATAAATGCGTTTCTGATTATTTGTTATATAAATAATTATTTTCTGCATATTTTAGTAATAATAATAATAATATGCCATTTAGCAGACGCTTTTATCCAAAGCGACTTACAGTCATGTGCGCATACATTTTTACGTATGGGTGGTCCCGGGGATCGAACCCACTACCCTGGCGTTACAAGCGCCATGCTCTACCAATTGAGCTACAGAGGACCACAGTATTTGAGGAAGTGTATCTTGCTGTCTGGTACACAACATAACTATCTTGTTCTGTGGTACACAGAATAAGTGAAAGGTTTCAGTCCAAAATGCTATATATCAATTTTGAGAAATGTTGGCAAATGAGCTTTTATTGTTTAAAGGGGAATGGAAACACTAGGCTTTAGAACACCAGCTAACCATAACTGTAACTCACCATATTGGCATTGTTGCATCACTGGCAGGATTTCAAATAAATGGCTGAGTCCCAAAACTGTCTGAAAGACCATGAACTCTGTGTCATTAATGAGCAAAACGTGCTGGTGTCTAACCATATATGAAAACATGATACAGTGCATTCGAAAAGTATTCAGACCACTTCCCTTTTCCCACATTTTGTTAAATTACAGCCTTATTCTAGAATTGATTAAATGTTTTTTTCTTCTCATCAATCTACACACAATAGCCCATAATGACAAAGCGAAAACAGGTTTTTAGAAATGTTTGCACATTTATAAAAAATAAAATAAAATAAAAAATACCTTATTTACAAAAGTATTCAGACCCTTTGCTATGAGACTCAATTGAGCGCATGTGCATCCTGTTTCCATTGATCATCCTTGAGATGTTTCTACAACTTGATTGGAGTCCACCTGTGGTAAATTCAATTGATTGGACATGATTTGGAAAGGCACACACCGGTGTGTATATAAGGTCCCACAGTTGACAGTGCATGTCAGAGCAAAAACCAAGCCATGAGATCGAATGAATTGTCCGTAGAGCTCCGAGACAGGATTGTGTTTAGGCACAGATCTGGGGAAGGGTTCCAAAACATTTCTGCAGCATTGAAGGTCCCCAAGAACACAGTGGCCTCTTCCTAGAGCTGGCTGCCCGGCCAAACTGAACAATTGGGGGAGAAGGGCCTTGGTCAGGGAGGTGACCAAGAGCCCGATGGTCACTCTGACAGAGCTCCAGAGTTCCTCTGTGGAGATGGGAGAACCTTCCAGAAGGACAACAATCTCTGCAGCACTCCACCAATCAGGCCTTTATGGTAGAGTGGCCAGACGGAAGCCACTCCTCAGTAAAAGGCAAATGACAGCCCGCTTGGAGTTTGCCAAAAGGCACCTAACGGACTCTCAGACCATGAGAAACAAGATTCTCTGGTCTGATGAAAGCAAGATTTAACTATTTAGCCTGAATGCCAAGCGTCATGTCTGGAGGAAACCTGGCACCATCCCTATGGTGAAGCATGGTGGTGGCAGTATCACGCTGTGGGGATGTTTTTCAGCGGCAGGGACTGGGAAACTAGTCAGGATCGAGGGAAAGATGAACGGAGCAAAGTACAGAGAGATCCTTGATGAAAACCTGCTCCAGAGTGCTCAGGACCTCCGACTGGGATGAAGGTTCACCTTCCAACAGGACAACGAATAATACAAATAACATTGAGTAGCAAACTTGTAAAGTCACAAATTAATTTTATTGACTTTAAAAGTCACAGAAATCTCTGGTCTCCCTTATCCCTCTCTACAGCAAAAAGGTTGCTATTAGTACAACATTTGTTATTAATTTACCCCCCTCATCAATTCCCAGAACACATTTCTGAATGAACAGCATAGTGCTTTTCACTGATGCTTCAGGACAAGTCTCTGAATGTCCTTGAGTGGCCCAGCCAGAGCCCGGACTTGAACTCGATCGAACATCTCTGGAGAGACCTGAAAATAGCTGTGCAGCGACGCTCCCCATCCAACCTGATAGAGCTTGAGAGGATCATCAGAGAAGAATGGGAGAAACTCCCCAAATACAGGTGTGCCAAGCTTGTAGCGTCACACCCAAGAAGACTCGAGGCTGTAATCGCTGCCAAAGGTGCTTCAACAAAGTACTGAGTAAAGGGTCTGAAAATAAATAAATGTGCAAACATTTCTAAAAACCTGTTTTTTCTTTGTCATTACGGGGTATTGTGTGTAGATTGATGAGGGGGAAAAAAACGGTTTAATCCCATTTTTAGAATAAGGCTGTAAAGTAACAAAATGTGGAAAATGTCAAGGGGTCTGAATACTTTCCGAATGCACTGTACATATTGCGAAAGCTGAGAAACAGCCCTATCAAATGATACGACATTCAATAGCACCACATCAAACAAATGGCAATCAGTCAAGAAAAAACACCTGTGATTAAAAAAAAAATCTTATACGAAAATCAAGGCTTTTTTTCCCCAACCAACTGCCATTTACACAGCTTCCTAATGAAGATAATGTCCTTCTTGTGTAAGGAGATTGAAGAACTAAAATCAGAATAGCAATACATTTTACTGTGAGTGAGTTACAGACGTTTTTAGAGAAGGGTGGTATTTTTCTAGGATTCTATGGAATGTTTCGTTATCAGACTATTTCCTATCTGGATAGTACATTAAACACATATCTGCACCAAAACACATTACAAATAGCAATTAGTCTTACATATGATAAGGAAATACATAAACAAGTAATAAAGCATGAGTACATCAAGAGCGTTATTGAAATAACTTTATTGAGAGCAATACATCGTCTCATTCAAACCTGAAAACAAAGTGCAAGTCACATAGAACATCTGAATTACAAAATCTGATAATAAGGCATATGACAACAATAATTGGCTTTTAACAACTTCAATTTCTTCTGTGCATACATTCGACTAGGCCTATAGCCTATTACATGATGAGTCAGAATTGGAACAAATGAAAAGCATGCAAGGGGGAGGCTAAATGACCCCAGTGACAATCTGAGTTACTGGGTGACGACTAGGAGTCCCTTTACTATGACCAGTGACAATCTGAGCTACTGGGTGAAGACTAGGAGTCCCTTTACTAGTGCCTGTGTCTGCAATGGGTCACCCACTGGAGTACCACAACCTAACACCATTTTGCTCCCCTACGATCTTGCATTCTGGTGCAACACAAACAAATCACGTCATATACTCCTTTCTATCCTTCCTGTAAAAAAAAAAAAAAAAAATGCCAACAATTTCTAGAGTAGTCCTCCAGCACATTGACGTTCACCTAGGCTGTGAGGATGAGGACCTGATCGTCCCTCGGCAGCATGTGGTCCTGTCTCTCCAGGCCCTGTCTGTCTTTGACACCATGGGGGGACAGCTTCTATTGACTGCCTGGTGCACAGGTGACATGTCTGTTGTCCTCCTCACGAAGTTCTGAGAGCTGACAGTCCACCAGTGTCCTACAGACAGAGAGAGTATTTTTTTTTTAAACAGACCTAATTTACTGTATATATAGGTCTTATAGTACACAACAATAATATATCATTGACAGTTAGCCGCTAGACTCGCAGGACTAAGTTCTATATCGTGGAGCTCCGCCCCATAGGGGAGCTCTGCTCCTAGTGGTTTACCCTCTGCCCTAAGGCAGTAACAGCCTGAAGCAAAATTATGCACACACCTGCAGCCAATGGGAGCACAGGTGTCCCTATAAGAGGGGATGCCTCCCCTCAATCAGCCTCCCATTATCTTCAGCGACTGGACGACTAGACTGAAGAAGCCAAGAAGAGAAGAGAAGACTCAGGAAGAAATCGCCGTCGATGAGCCAGCCATCGACGTCTTCTAAAATGAGCACGCCAGGAGATTTTCCACCCCCAAAAGCCCTTTTCAGGGCTCAGTGCCGATGCTCCTCCATGGCATCTGCGGACCCCCACGACCTTTGTTTCGTGTGTTTGGGGCCGCAGCATGCCAAGGAAGGGACCGGCAATCCCCCTAATTGCGCCTCCTGCGCCCTCCTTCCTATGAAGGTGAGGAAGCAGCGTTGGGCGTTCTTTAGGGAGGATATCCCCCTAGAGGATGTACTGTCTCTTCTCGCCTCTGCTTCAGAGGCGTCGTCGGACAGTGCTGGCTCAGGGGATGACAAGGAGAGAGACGCAGAGATGGATGTTCCAATGGAACAATCCGACCCTCTGGCGCCAACCTTCAAGACCCCCTTCCCTTTGGGGAGTGTGAGATCTGAAGGCTCCTTGTGCGATGACGACACGGGCTCTGTTACGTCAGCAGCCCTGTCCTTCGCAGCGGCCTCTCTGCGTGCGGACTTTCCCGAACTCATTGAGAGAGCCGCCAATCGACTCGAGATAGCGCTGCCCCCTGCTCCCCCCCCTGTGGAGGTCGACATGATGGAGGGCGGCCCCTACTCTAGACCGAGGAAGGCAGCTGAGCCGATGGCTCCTGCTATGCCTTCCCTCTGAAAATATGTCGAGGGCTCGTGGGATACACCCCTGGCGGCGCGTTCGCCGGCCAAAGTGTACACCCCATTCACGAGAATGGCTGGACGTGAGTGGGCTGCTAAGGGAATCCCTAGGCTCGAGAGCGCCATGGCGGCGTATCTAGTGCCGGGTTCGAGTCCCTGGGCGGCCTCCAAGAAAGCCACCTTGCCAGCACAAAAGGACAGACTCACAGCACAGCTGGCTGAGAAGTCCTTTACACTGGGAGCCCAGGCTGTGTCAGCGGCTAACAACATCGCCCTCCTCGCGGCCTCCCTATCCCGTCTAACAACGGGTAGGTCTGAGTTGACCAGCGAGGAGATTGAAGAGGCGTCCAGGATTTCTGCCGCTATTCTTCATTTGACACAGGCGTCAGCGATATGCGCAGGCCGGTCCATGGCCACCTCGGTGGTCATGGAACGTCACCTCTGGCTGTCAATGACAGCCATGAAGGAGACGGACAGAGCCTCGCTGCTAAACGCTCCCGTCTCTAGCGAGGGCCTCTTTGGGGTCGCCGTTAAGGAGGCGACGGAACGTTTTGGTAAGCTAGACGAAGAGAGAAAGCACCTGGCTAAACACCTGCCATTGGTTTAGCAGGGCCTCAACTAACCCGTCAACCTCTAACGCCCCCAGTAGAACTACAGGGAGGCGACGGGCCAGGCGACAGGCGCCTACCACCGACAGCAGGCGAGCGGGCTCGGCCCCTCCAGCGATGACGGTGGTGGCGACGATTCCGCCGGCGAGAGAGGTCGTCACAAAACCGTCCTGGCAACACCAGAAGGTCAGCCAGAAACGACGGCGTCAATGACGGGACGAGGGGGAGAGGACGGATGACGGCTCGGCGCTGGACGCGACAGAGCCCACTGTTCCCCCCCACCCTACTGTTCAGGGCATGGAGGGAAATGTTTATTGTTGTTATGTGAATAAAGAGTTGGCTCCCACTGACATTGTCACAAAAGAGCCCTTTTTCCATGACACATTGCAGAGTACTTCACGTCCTATGAATTTCTCTCACCATCCTGAGTGTAGCTCAACCCACCAAGGGTGCGTAGTTGAACACACTCAGGAGAGGAAAGAGAAAAAGGTAGCAAGGCGTAGCCTTAGCTCACCTAATAAAGATATTTTACTACAGACTCCTAGGAGCTCTGTAGTAAAGGTCTCACATAGCAGGCAGCTGTCTCAGTCTAAATATGACATGAAGACGCAGCCGCTAGCTGGGAATGACGCCTTGCTTCAGGCTAACGCCTCAGCCAGCGCAGTTCAGACCCGTGCAACGTTCACGGAGGGCCGGAATACTAGAGTTACAGGTGTAACCAATGTATGGGCGCCCCCGGTTAATTCAGAACGTAACAATGCCCACTACTCTGAGTGCAGCTCACCACACCTAGAGTGTGCTGTTGAGCAGCCTCATGAGACCAGTGAAAAAGAGGTATTGTGGCGCCACCTTGTGGTACCAGTTAGAGACCACACTTTCCAGACTCTGTTGAGTACTGCAGTGGACGGATCTCATGGCAAACAGCAGTCTCAGTCAGACAATGACATGATGACGCAATTGCTATCTGGGGAGGGCGCTCTGTCTCAGGTTAATACCTCAGTCAGTGCAGCTCAAAACCGTGCTGCGTTCACGGAGGGCCGGAATACTAGAGTTACAGACGTAACTGACGTATCAAGGCCTCCGATTCTCTCAGAACGAGCTGATGTTTCCTCTCCCTTTCGAGGGGGGCCCGCCTTGGGCTATTCCACCAACCCAGTGCTGGGGAATAGCGGCGGCGAGGGCCATAGAGGAATATAGGTCCTTCCTACTGGATGCACCACAGCTTCGTGCGCGCCGCTTTCTCTGCATTGCTGGCAGTGGCAACGAAGCTGTACCCTCTCACGCTGGCTAGAACAGACGTTGCAGAAGGGTTATGCCCTCCAATTCCATCGAACCCCACCCCCGTTCAGGGGAGTGGTGGAGACGGTGATGAAAACGCCGGACAAAGTGGCCGCTCTGATGTCAGAGATTACGGAACTTTTGGCGAAGGAGGCGGTCACAGTAGTTCCCCGGGAGCAAAGGAACAAAGGGCTATATTCGCCTTATTTCCTAGTGCCCAAAAAGACGGGGGGAGTCAGGCCGATTTTGGATTTACGCACTCTCAACGAGAGCATAACCAAACGGCCCTTCCGAATGCTGACGACAAAACGTCTACTGGAATGTGTCCAGAAAGGAGACTTTTGTACAAGCATAGACCTAAAGGACGCGTACTTCCATGTGCCGATACAATCGCGTCACAGGAAGTTTCTGCGGTTCGCCTTTCAAGGGGTGGCGTACGAGTTCACGAGGATGCCATTCGGGTACGCCCTGGCACCTCGAACGTTTTCCAAATGTGTGGAGGCGGCATTGGAACCGCTGTGTCGTCAAGGGATAAGGCTATTAGCCTACCTAGACGACCTACTGGTTCTCGCCCCGTCAGCAGAGCTGGCGTTCATTCACACAACACAGACAGTGATTCATCTCACGCGTCTGGGGTTCGCTGTGAATTGGAAAAAGAGCGCACCCTGGCCCAGTCATCAGATTGTCTACCTGGGGCTACAGCTAGACACTGTAATGATGAGGGCTCGAATTTCGGACCCTCGAAGGGTAGCATTGTTGCTAGCCCTGAGGAAGTGTTGTCCGAATCACACAGTGACGGCGCTGTCGATCATGTCACTTTTGGGTCTCATGTCGTCAGCCCACTCTGTGGTACCGCTGGGACTCCTGCACATGCGCAGAATACAGCGATGGTTCGCCCAACTAAGACTAGACCCAGTGCGTCAACGTCATCGGTTGGTGGTGGTTCCTCTCTCGCTAAGAGCAGACCTGGACTATTGGAGGAATCCGAGCGTTCTCACGCACGGAGTCCCGATGGGCAAGGTGTCATCCTACATTCCAGTATTTACAGATGCTTCTCTGACTGGATGGGGAGGGACATGTCAGACTCAAGCGATAGGAGGTGTATGGCCTCAATCAGGTCGTCACATAAACCTCTTGGAGTTGGAAACGGTTCGACTGGTTCTGACCCACTTCGTGCCTACCCTTCGGGGTCGCGATGTGCTGGTCTGGTCAGACAACCGGACCACAGTAGCTCACATAAATCGCCAGGGAGGGGTCAGGTCACCTGCCCTCCACCGGGCGGCAGAGGAATTGTGGCTGTGGGCTCACAAGCACCTTCGCTCGTTGAGAGCAGCACACATTCCGGGCTACTTGAACGTAGGAGCAGACCTCATGTCAAGAGGGGGTCCTCGAGACGACGAGTGGTGTCTGCATCCGGACATTGTTCTCCGAATTTGGGAACAGTTCGGGAGAGCCGAGGTGGATCTGTTCGCGTCACGCGTGAACGCGCAATGTCCCCTATGGTTCTCTCTGAGGGAACAGGACGAACCACCACTGGGAAGAGACGCATTCGCGCACTACCCGTGGCCGAAAGTTCTCCTGTATGCATTCCCTCCACTGTCTTGCATTCTCCCACTGCTAGCCAGGGTGAGGTCAGAGGGGCTGTCAGTGATACTGATAGCGCCCGATCGCCCGGGGGCTCCGTGGTTTGCGGAGATGAGTCAGATGTTGATTGCGCCACCTTGGCCAATTCCACATCGACGGGACGCGTTGACCCAGGCGGGAGGCTCGATAGGGCAGTGGCCCATAATCGGCCAACCACTGAAGGCTTGGTTCCTGAATGGGACAGGTTGAAGCGCCGTGGGTTATCTGATGCAGTGATCAGAACCATACAAGGTGCACGAGCCGGTTCCACTTCTAGGATGTATACCAGCAGATGGAACGTTTTTTCACGATGGTGTGACACACAAGGTGTGGACCCCATGAACTGTCAGGTTGAGAGTGTGCTCTCTTTTCTGCAGTTTATGTTTGATAAGCAGAAATCGCCCTCCACCATTAGAGTGTTTGCAGCGGCAATTTCAGCTGGTCATGAGGGGTTTGGCGGAACGAACGTGTTCAGCCACCCTTTAGTGAAACGTTTCTTATTGGGAACGCGGCGGCTTAGGCCAATGCCTAGAGCCACGCTGCCCCAGTGGGATTTGGCTTTGGTACTCGAAGCGCTATGTAAGTCGCCGTTCGAGCCATTGAATCAAATACCCCTCAAGATGTTGTCTATCAAGACGGCACTGTTGCTCGCCTTGACTACCGCTAAGCGTGTCAGTGATTTGTGTGCCCTGTCGACGAGACCCGACTGCCTTGCCATTAATGGCGATCTGAGCAGAGCGGTGTTACGTCCTAACCCGGCGTTTGTGCCGAAGGTTATTAGCAGTGCATATAGATCACAGACCGTGGAGTTGTGGGCTTTTTCTCCCCCTCCTCATGGGGAGAGGAGTGAGGAAAAGCTTCATTGTCTGTGCCCAGTGCGCGCTTTGGCGTGTTACGTTGAGCGCACAGCAGCGATTAGGTCATCGCCTCAGCTGTTTGTGTGTCACGGTGCGGCTGCATTAGGTAGACCACTTTCAAAACAGCGATTGTCTCATTGGCTTTGTGAAGGTATTGAGACAGCTTACGAGGCAGCGGGGCGACAACTGCCTCAGGGTATCAGAGCTCACTCCACTTGTGGAGTAGCAGCTTCTACTGCCCTCTTCAGAGGAACAGGGGTAGAGGATATTTGTAGAGCAGCGTCATGGTCGACACCGTCTCCATTTATCCGTTTCTATCTATTAGATATGTCTTCTAACTCTTTGGCTCGATCTGTACTCAGCGTGGCTGAAGGGAGATCTTGAGCAAGAAAGAGAGAAAAAAAGCAGGACTGTGGACATGGGTGTCCATCAGGTCTGCTTTGGTTAGGAAGACATATTCTGTTTCTATCTATTAGATATGCCTTCTAACTCTTTGGCTCGATCTGTACTCAGCGTGGCTGAAAGGAGATCTTGAGCAAGAAAGAGAGGGAAAAAGCAGGACTGTGGACATGGGTGTCCATCAGGTCCGCTTTGGTTAGGAAAACATGTTTTTTGATAGATAGGCTTTCTATCTCTCTGGGTCGATTGTACTCAGCATAGCTGAAGGGGAATCTTGAGCTAGAAGAGAGAAAAGCAGGACGATGGACACAGGTTTCTATCAGGTCCGCTTTGGATGGAAAGCATATCTTGTGGCATGACTCTTGACTGACAGGGTCAGTATAGTAGAGACATGTATTGAATTGACAGAATGTGAGGTCATCTATCTGATTGTTCAGTTTAGTATGACTTATATTTTGTTCCTGCCTACTAATTTCTGGGATTCCATTGAGTGAGTGAGGCGGTCTACTGTGCACATAATGTAGAGTGACACTTGGTGTCATTCCATTAGTGGTCGGTGGTGTTTTCACAGGATATTGAGGCACATCTATCTGCTAGTACAGATTAGTGTAGCTTCTATTCTGGTGATCTGCCCACTAGTCATTGGCATTGCCATTGAACTAGGTGGGGCGGGTCTTTAACCGATGACGCGGTATATTGTGACGCCCGTAGGGGTTTTTAGTTGCAGTACTGCGGCAATTGGTTGCGGCCATTGCTAGGCTTGACCTTTTCATTTTTTAATGGGAAGTGTTAGGCTCGGCAGGGAGTACATTTTGGAGCGCTACGCTCCGCCTTAAACCACTAGGAGCAGAGCTCCCCTATGGGGCGGAGCTCCACGATATAGAACGATTAGTTACCGGAGTGTAACTCCAGTTCTATGAGTGGAGCGGAGCCCCATAGGACTTAAGGCCCTGCCGACCCTCTCTAGTCTCGCTGAAGATAAATATCTCGGGAGGCTGATTGAGGGGAGGCGTCCCCTCTTATAGGGACACCTGTACTCCTATTGGCTGCAGGTGTGTGCATAATTTTGCTTCAGGCTGTTGCTGCCTTAGGGCAGAGGGTAAACCACTAGGAGCAGAGCTCCCCTATGGGGCTCCGCTCCACTCATAGAACTGGAGTTACACTCCGGTAACTAATCGTTACCAAGCTGACTACCAGCCTGCTTTCAAAAGTCATAGCTATTAGCTAACTATCATCATAAGGGTTAAGCTTCAGGCTTAGGCTACATTCATTATTGCAATCAACAGTCAGCAGGCTTGCTATTTTTACGAAATCATATCACATATAAACAGACACCTATTGAGATATCTAGCTATGTAGCTAGCTAGCTAATGATCATACATTTTACTGGTAAAATAGCAATCCTGCAGCAGCCCTCTGTTAGTTGTGGCTGGTTAGCTAGCTAGCTACAAATCGAATCAGACACTAGCCAGTTCATTTTAGCTCTTAGCTAATACCAATGACAAATACTCTTCAAATTGTCAACATGAGCATTTTTATTTTGTACAGTTATGAAAGACTAAATTAACATAAAAAAAGACAAGAGAAGAGTTAAATCAAGTAGGCTAGATAACTAGCTAGCTAGCTAGCTTACCTAGGCTGACTGTCTAACATTACTCAGCTTGTTATCAGAAGTTCATTTCACAGACTCATCTTATCAATCGGAAAGAATACTCTAAAAATGTACATATTATAATTACCAACATAAAAACGAATTGTATACAGTTTCTTACCTTAATATTGTTGTCCTGATCTCAATGACAGCTGTCAAAGTTGTGAGGTCCAGTGGAGGCGAGGGACCTCCTGGTAGCAGCATTCACTTTCAGTCCCCGCACCAAAACTCACAATTTGCTCAATCCTGCCAATTACGCTTTGACATCCGTCGTTACTATGGCAATTCAAGATGGCAATACCCATACCTCTAATAAACGTTGTTCAATATCAAAATCCTAAAAAAAATTGAGATATTTCTATGTTAAATGCACATGTTTAGTATTAGTGGATGGAATACATCTCATTGTTTAGCTGTATAATATAATAATATGCCATTTAGCAGACGCTTTTATCCAAAGCGACTTACAGTCATGCGTGCATACATTATATATATATTTTTGTGTATGGGTGGTCCCGGGGATCGAACCCACTACCTTAGCGTTACAAGCGCCATGCTCTACCAGCTGAGCTACAGAGGACCACCCATGTACTTCCTAAAGTGTTTCCAGTCCCCTTTAAGAACTTATGAAAGAGATAGGTGTGTTTTTTCACCATCTAATTATGGCATGGGGTTGTTCAATGACCGACATGTATTTGTTTGAAATCTATCACTTATTTGTTTAATTTCAGAATGCTTTATATCCGCCTCACTCTGAGGAATAAGTAGTACTGCTAAGTTTTACACAGTAAAATTTGATAAATAACTACATTTCAATAAAGAACTGTACAAATGATACATTTGTGACATAAATATATAAAAAAAAGATATATATAGTATAAGATCTGTATGTAGAATATTTGCATTTTAGTCATTTAGCGGATGCTCTTATCCAGAGCGACTTACATTTAATGTATTCATCTTAAAATAGCTAGGTGAGACAACCACGTATCACAATCAAATATACAGGATACGGACATTCCATTCCCGCTAAACAATGGATACTGTATATAACGGTTTGCAACAAAACCCATTTAAATAAAAAATCTATGAATAAAGATTCTGAGTATATAGCGTTTTGGAACGAAACTCTTCAAGTGTATCATTATGTCTGGTACACAAAAGTGTATGCTGTAATTGTAGGTCCTCTGTAGAATCTTGTTCATGATGACAACGTGCTCCCAATGTGTAAAGTCAAAGACAAGTTTCCAAAAGTGTATAGTACAGTACACTATAGTAGAACACAGTACACTATACTATAGTAGAGCATAGTACAGTATACTATAGTAGAGAACAGTACAGTATACTATAGTAGATCACAGTACAGTATACTATAGTAGAGCACAGTACACTATACTATAGTAGAGCACAGTACAGTATACTATAGTAGAGAACAGTACAGTATACTATAGTAGATCACAGTACAGTATACTATAGTAGAGAACAGTACAGTATACTATAGTAGAGCACAGTACACTATACTATAGTAGAGCACAGTACAGTATACTATAGTAGAGAACAGTACAGTATACTATAGTAGAGAACAGTACAGTATACTATAGTAGAGCACAGTACAGTATACTATAGTAGATCACAGTACAGTACACTATAGTAGAACACAGTACACTATACTATAGTAGAGCACAGTACAGTATACTATAGTAGAGCACAGTACACTATACTATAGTAGAGCACTGTATATTATACTATAGTAGAGAACAGTACAGTATACTATAGTAGAGCACATTACAGTATACTATAGTAGAGAACAGTACAGTATACTATTGTAGAGAACAGTACAGTATACTATAGTAGAGAACAGTACAGTATACTATAGTAGAGAACAGTACAGTATACTATAGTAGAGAACAGTACAGTATACTATAGTAGAGCACAGTACACTATACTATAGTAGAGCACAGTACAGTATACTATAGTAGATCACAGTACAGTATACTATAGTAGAGCACAGTACAGTATACTATAGTAGAACACAGTACACTATACTATAGTAGAGCACAGTACAGTATACTATAGTAGATCACAGTACAGTACACTATAGTAGAACACAGTACACTATACTATAGTAGAGAACAGTACAGTATACTATAGTAGATAACAGTACAGTATACTATAGTAGAACACAGTACACTATACTATAGTAGAGCACAGTACAGTATACTATAGTAGATCACAGTACAGTACACTATAGTAGAACACAGTACACTATACTATAGTAGAGAACAGTACAGTATACTATAGTAGATAACAGTACATTATACTATACTAGAGCACTGTATATTATACTATAGTAGAGAACAGTACAGTATACTATAGTAGAGAACAGTACAGTATACTATAGTAGAGCACAGTACAGTATACTATAGTAGAGAACAGTACAGTATACTATAGTAGAGCACAGTGCAGTATACTATAGTAGATCACAGTACAGTACACTATAGTAGAACACAGTACACTATACTATAGTAGAGAACAGTACAGTATACTATAGTAGATAACAGTACATTATACTATACTAGAGCACTGTATATTATACTATAGTAGAGAACAGTACAGTATACTATAGTAGAGCACATTACAGTATACTATAGTAGAGAACAGTACAGTATACTATAGTAGAGAACAGTACAGTATACTATAGTAGAGAACAGTACAGTATACTATAGTAGAGAACAGTACAGTATACTATAGTAGAGAACAGTACAGTACACTATAGTAGAGAACAGTACAGTATACTATAGTAGAGCACAGTACAGTATACTATAGTAGAGAACAGTACAGTATACTATAGTAGAGAACAGTACAGTATACTATAGTAGAGAACAGTACAGTACACTATAGTAGAGAACAGTACAGTATACTATAGTAGAGCACAGTACAGTATACTATAGTAGAGAACAGTACAGTATACTATAGTAGAGCACAGTACAGTATACTATAGTAGAGAACAGTACAGTATACTATAGTAGAGAACAGTACAGTATACTATAGTAGAGAACAGTACAGTATACTATAGTAGAGAACAGTACAGTATACTATAGTAGAGCACAGTACAGTATACTGTAGTAGAGAACAGTACAGTATACTATAGTAGAGAACAGTACAGTATACTATAGTAGAGAACAGTACAGTATACTATAGTAGAGAACAGTACAGTATACTATAGTAGAGCACAGTACAGTATACTGTAGTAGAGAACAGTACAGTATACTGTAGTAGAGAACAGTACAGTATACTGTAGTAGAGAACAGTACAGTATACTGTAGTAGAGAACAGTACAGTATACTATAGTAGAGAACAGTACAGTATACTATAGTAGAGAACAGTACAGTATACTATAGTAGAGAACAGTACAGTATACTATAGTAGAGAACAGTACAGTATACTATAGTAGAGAACAGTACAGTATCCTATAGTAGAGAACAGTACAGTATACTATAGTAGAGAACAGTACAGTATACTATAGTAGAGAACAGTACAGTATACTATAGTAGAGAACAGTACAGTATACTATAGTAGAGAACAGTACAGTATACTATAGTAGAGAACAGTACAGTATACTATAGTAGAGAACAGTACAGTATACTATAGTAGAGAACAGTACAGTATACTATAGTAGAGAACAGTACAGTATACATAGTAGAACAGTAGTATACTGTAGTAGAGAACAGTACAGTATACTATAGTAGAGAACAGTACAGTATACTATAGTAGAGAACAGTACAGTATCCTATAGTAGAGAACAGTACAGTATACTATAGTAGAGAACAGTACAGTATCCTATAGTAGAGAACAATACAGTATCCTATAGTAGAGAACAGTACAGTATCCTATAGTAGAGCACAGTACAGTATACTATAGTAGAGCACAGTACACTATACTATAGTAGAGAACAGTACAGTATACTATAGTAGAGAACAGTACAGTATCCTATAGTAGAGAACAGTACAGTATACTATAGTAGAGAACAGTACAGTATACTATAGTAGAGAACAGTACAGTATACTATAGTAGAGAACAGTACAGTATACTATAGTAGAGAACATTACCTGGAACATGGCCGTAGAGTCCAGCCTGAATCCATCTGTCCCAGGCTGTCTGACCAGAGAGAGAGCTGAGGGGTCGTCTACAGCCAACATTGCATTAAAATCCACGTCACCAAACCCACGGGCCTGAGTCTCGGGCTGCGCCTTGTCCTGGAGGGGGGAGGAGGGGAGTGAGGGGGGGAAGAGGAGGAGGAGGGGAGAGGAAGAGGAGGGGAGAGAGGGGGGAGATGGGGGGAGAGTAGAGAGTAGAGTATTTATTATCACCAAAGAGAATACACAGACAGCATGGTAAAATAAAGATTGACTGTAGTGAAATGCATTGATAACACCAGACAGCACCGCTAACATTGAGAGGTAGAAGAGCGTTGTTGACGTAATGTCATCTTGGGTTATATCTATTTTTTTTTAGGTGAACTCAGCATCAAAAAGCTTTCTCAGGTCCTTTCTGTTCTACAGGACTCTCTGATTAGGGTTAATGCTTACATTCATAATTCAACACACTTGTCGTCGCTACATAACATTCATTTGGTATTCTTCCTCATGATTTATTAAAAGAAAA